TGAATCACTCTATTACTTGTACTGTCACTTAGCATTTCATGTCTCACCACTTGACAGCAGAGGCCCTGTCTCATTCATTATTGCATATCAAGTGGCCTGCACCGTAAAAAGCACACAGGAAACAATCAAGAAAAACTGAAAGAAGGTACAAAAAAAAAAAAAAGAAAATTTTTAGTGAAAAATACTGTACAATTTTTGAGAAAGACAAAATAATTTGTAGTTACGATCTCAAATAACTCTGACCACAAGACTAGAAATATTCATGATAAGGAAAATAAGAGAAATTCTTATTAAGATCTTTACGTATTAAGGAAAAATTTGATAAAAGATGATTTAGGAAGGGAGGGGGGAGGAAAAAAAGGTTTGACACAGAAAATAATAATGCATCCAAAGCCTAAGAGATTACTAAACATGTCATACCACTAGTTTTGGAATCAATCCACTAACCCTTTTCAGAAAAAAAAAGTCCCAGCTGAAGCTGTAATCCCTGAGGCAGTGGAAAGTGCTGACAATAGCCAGTACTTGCTGTCATTCAAATGCTATTGTATAAAGGAAATTCTTTTCACCTTGGCTTTGGATTTGAGTTCAAAACTTTAGCAGGAAGTCTTAATCTGGAGTCCAGAAAGAGAATTTGGAAAAAAAAAAAAAAAAAAAAAGGCACATCAAGATCCCACAGGAAAATGAACTAAATAAAAGAAGAAGTCCAGAGCCAGTATGTTAACCAGTCCAATAAATTAATATGGTATCTGGTGACCATATGAAAAGGTAGATGTGAAAGGAGTATCTAGGACTAGGCACTATAGATTAGAGCAAAAAGAGCATCCCTTCTGAGGCCCAATCTGATAGAAAAGATGGTATCATTTTTCATGAGATCTGGTTACAGGGGAGCAGAAGGAGAAGCCAGAACATAGGACATGCCAAAAGTAGCTGGACTCTTCAGAACTTGTCTTTAAATGGGCGGAGAAATATCCAGAGACCTGGCTCCCAAAGTTGGCTGTCATTTATTAACTGCATGACCTAGAACAAATTATTTAACCTTTTGGATTTTTTTTTTCTTATCTAATAAACACCAACAAAACAGTAAGGAGAACTTAAGGAAATAACCAGTAAAAAGTGCTGGACAAACAAACCATAGGTATGTCCTATTAAGACCCTTCTACAAGAAACTGTCCATACCATCTAAACAAGAGCATAGAGAAGACTGTCTCAAAAAGTGGACTGTGTGATGACTTCCATTATTTTACTGGCACTGGTAGTCTTGTTTATATTGTTGGGAAATATAGGAAATGTCCTTACTTCTTTAACAAATACCAACAGCCCTTTAGAAATGTCAGTTTAGGACACAGGGCATGCCAAAAGTGGCTGGACTCTTCAGAACTTGTCTTTAAATGGGCGGAGAAAGAGCCAAAGAGACCTGGCTCCCAAAGTTGGCTTTGTCACTTACTAACTGCATGACCTCCAAAATGGTCTAGAATGACAGCAATAAAGGGCCAATGTGGGATTCATTCAGCAAAGAGGTATACTGGGTATGGTTTGTCCTGAGTAAAAATGTCACCAGTCGCTGACACCACCAGTCAAGTGGCATGACAGCTGCTTCATACAATTCCAGAATAGAGAGGAGCAGTGTCTCAGCCTGTCATTCCAGCCATCCTCAGACACAAAGATAAAACCGCTGTGAGCAGCAGCATCTGTAAAGGACAGCTAACATCCTGTTGTTTTTGGCTCTTTTTCTTCAACTAGTCAAAAAAGCTATTGTCGTAGTCAGTTATCTCACCGTGTCAGTTTCCTAAGCATATTTAAAGAGTTGTTGAAGCACATATTTCACATGGTACCACATTTTTACAATCCTGAAAGCAGTGAAAATTAGATCGTAAAAAAATCTGTTTTAGTGACACACATTTACTAGCTTCACAAATTCCACACAAGCATCTCTAAGATGGCTTAATCGCCAAAACCCATCTTCTGAGCCCCTTTTTTTCAAACTGAGTTCTTTCACATACTAGCCTGGAGCCAGGGGCAAGGACCTTCATTTCTCAGGGATTCAGTTTCTTTATATGGACTATCTATTCTCGAAAGTCCTTTCCGGTGGTACAAATTTATGGAAAGACTGTATGGCTAAGTACGGCAATTTGTGAAGGTTCCTAAGTCTACATTTAAATTCTAATAATACAATGCAAGCATATGTATTTATCATCCCATGCAAAATTTGGTTTGAGGGGAAGAAACTTTTATAATCTACACCTTGTACAAAGCAGGAACTGGGAAAAAAGTTAAATGCATAAATGAAGAAAAGAACGGGAATACTGAAAGCTACCTGGAAACGTAGCTGGACATTACAGGTGGTAGGGTGGACAAGAAATTACAGAACAGAAACTTAAGATAGTTACGGAATGCTCCTATGTGGAAAGGGCAGAAGATCCTATGTGGAAGGGCAGAAACAAGAACCGAAAGATTCACCACAGAAAGCATATAGCGGACCCATCCCTGGAATACTGGCTTCCTCTAAAAGCTCCAATCTTCTGTTGAAGCAAATTATTCTGGGAAGCTCTCAATTCCTGTTTACTCTAAAACAAATGGAAGAGAAAAGAAAAACCAAAGCTTATTCCTTGTAACACAAACCCCAGGGAAGGTTAGGGATCAGTGGGAAGCAGAGACTCACATAAATATATGCACAGATACAAAATCATACCTGACGTAGGGGGTTAATGAAGCACATAAAATCCCAGGGCTGTCAGGAAGTGGAATTAGAACCACAAAAGCCAAAAAGAGAGTCAACAACTTAAAAAAAACTCCAGAAGCAATCAGTTTATCGTAACTGAACACTGGTAGGGAGGGTAAAAGAAGGACCCAGGCTGAAGAAATGGACTTAAGAGGGCATTTCACTGAGTCAAAGAAAGTCATTGCTTATTTCACTTTGGCACATTCTATTACCATTAAGTTCAGGAAATTCTTAAGCTTCTGAAAGGCAATCAGAAATAGAAATATCAAACGGCAATCAAAATAGTAAAGGAAACACTGAGAAAACTTGTGATGATTTTTAGACAAAGATTTTTATGCTAAGAATTCTCAGAAATTTACCCTCATATAAGAGTCAGGTGATGTGGAAAGAAATATTTACTTCTTTAATGAAACTTTTGAAGTTAGAGTTGTATTCTTTGTGCTTCTTCCTCAAATTCTAAAGACGCTCCCTTAGAACTGTAGTAACTCTAGGGCCTCCCTGGTGGCACAAGGGGTTTAGATGCAACCTATGAAGCTAACCGCAGCCACTGCAGCACAAGTTCGATCCCCGGCCAGGGAGCTACCCACATGGCGCAAGCAGACCTCTCCTGACTCGCCCACTGCTCCCCTCAGCAGTGTACTTCAGTCAGTCTGCCTGTTCTATTCCCCACTCTGTCTCTGGTGAATCCTCTCACATACCACCCCGCCCGCTGTACCTCTAGCCTGTACTCCCATTCTTGTATGCATAAATAAATCTTTAAAAAAAAAGAAGATATGAATGTATTTACATTTATTTTTTTTATTTTTTTTTAAAGATTTATTTATTTATTTATTTATTTATACAAGCACTGGGTACAGTCAGAAGTGCGGGAGGGTGAGAGAATTCACCAGAGCCAGAGCGGGAGCAGAGCAGGCAGAAGGACCGAAGTACACTGCTGAGGGGAGCAGCGGGCGGCAGGAGAGGTCTGCGCGCCGTGTGGGACCCTCCTCCGGTGGCCAGGGAGCAGCCGGGGATCGAACCGGCACTGCAGAGGCTGCGGGCAGCTTCGCAACCCAGCGCTCAACTGCTGCGCCACCGGGGAGGCCCTGTATTTACATTTAAAGAACATATCACAACCTTGTCCTTTCCTCTTTAATTTTGGTCCTGGCATATTATCTGCCATCTTCTATTCCCACTCTCAACACTTCCCTTTTTTACTGTTCCTTAAGTACACACTGTTAAGATAATCTCTTAAAGAGATCAAGAATTACAAAGGCTAATAAAAAAGATAAGAAAGTAATTTTTTAAATTGAGTACAAATTAAAGGTCAGACATTGTGCCAAGTGCTTTGTACGCATCATCTCGCTTACTCTTCACGGTGCTCTTAGGAAGCTGGTACCATCAGTCCTTCCATTTTATCGTAGAGGAAACACAGGATTAGAGTAACTTGCTGAAAATCAGAAAACTAGTCGGAGGTTTCAAATTATGTCATGTTCACTACTTTCCTGTCACCCTGATTCCTCAGCAAGCCTTGACTCTGAAGTCCTTACTACCGCATCTCCCCATCCCAGGCTTTAATTATCCTGCCCACCAACAAACAGTAGGGGTCTTGCTAAAGCCTAACTCCTGCTAAAAGCCAGTGCAACTTTATGGTCACTCACACTGGTGATCACTTAAAGAGTTCACATCCATGCAGAAAGCTAACGTGCACGGGGACCCCACGGCTAGCGGGGGTCAGCAGGCAAAAGGTTTCCTGGTCCAGGAGCTGTGATCTGCCTCTCAGTCTCTCTGTGCATCAGTGAACTGGGATGGGAGAGAAAGGAAGTGGAGAAGGAAGGGGAAGAGAAGAAAGGGGAGGGGAAAGAACCCACTAGAAAGAAGACTAAAACAAAAAGGAGGAGTCATCGGAAAATGGGAGAAAGCACATACTGGTACCAGCCAGAGCTTCTTGGAACCATTCCCAGTCTGACTGCCAAAGAGCTCTGGAATATATTTGTTAGAGCTGGATTCCTGTACAGCGTGTTGCAGACTTGTCCTGATTGCACTCTGACAAAAAGACTCACACTTCAGTTCCAACCCCTGCTTCCCACACAGAAAGCTAGTGGCTCCTCAGAGGACCTACAGCTAAGCTCAGCACTGGCCTCTTAGCAGGATCTTCATATGCTATGTGGGCTCAGAAAGAAATAAGTCACCACAGAGCTCTTTCTTCTATAGAATCTGTAAGCCTCTCCGCCCCAAGATTCCATCCCAACTACCCAAGACCCTTCTCACAAAACACATTAAGCTTCTTGAGTCTCCTTACCAAAACAACTGCTGCGATGGGGAACAAAGGTTTTACAGGCTGTAGCAATAGCTAGTTCAGCAGAGATTATAGTCTTAATGATCAGGTCTTCTACATGGGCCATTAATGCTACAAAAAAAAAAAGAGAGAGAGAGAGAGAGAGACAAGAAACAAATACTAAAATGCATGGATTAGAAGGACTGGATTCCAAAACACAATATAATTATAAAAGCATGTGTGCTCATTCCAAACAGTCTCTAAATGGCATTCTTTTGAATGGGTGCTACAGGAGAAGGCATTATCTCCGCACAGGCTAACACAGCCGAGTATGTAGGTGCTGGTGATGTAGTCAGATGGCTTCTGATGACAAAAACCAGACACAAAGTGGACAGAGAGCCTTCTTTCTCACTCTTCCCTCTGTGGGTTAAGATAAGTGGGCACACAGTGTCCCATTCTGCTCAAGTCTTGGCAGTCACATCCATTTAGACTCTGAGCCCTGTACTCAAACGCAACACTGCTCATTCCCAATTCAGCGGCGTGAATGGGATTAACTTAGAAAAATGTGAAATCTAGGGCTAATACAGAGATAGGCAATTTGTTATATAAAATGCTGACAGTATTTTAGGTGGCAGTTTAACATTCAAGACAGATAAATTCACTAAAGAAGGCAAGCCTTCCAAACTAGAAATAAAAAAAAGGAATATCAGGAGTCAGGGAAGGCCTGCTGTTCCCCTTGTAAACTGCAGCCGAAACTTAACAAAAAGAGGTGACCCCACTGGATGGCTCTGGACACTGTGACAGGGCTCCTGCTGAAAGACAATGGCCAACCAATACAAAGAAGAGGTGTCAAAGGGGAGAAAGACCCGGTACTTACCGGTTGTATCTCTGCCTTCTTGTTTCAGATACCTAAGCATGGCGCTCATGCTCCATTTGTTCCCATAATCCTCCACTTCTGGATCATCACAACTAAAACAAATGAATCGAGGTCACATAAGGCAACTAGGCCTGGCTGCAGAAACAAGTTTCTTTACAAATAGCCTTCTTGTCCTTTTAAGTCTTTCAAAAAGACCTTGCTGACTTCCACTCCCCCACTTTTACTTGGTCCTTTTTGTCATTTATTCCTTTGTATGAATTTCTTCCACTGAAATGAAAATGCATATAGCAGCTGGCCTTATTGGGAGGTGGGGGAGGGGGGGCAGGAGGGAAGAAAAAGACAAATTCCTCCTTAACCAAACAGGCATCTTGAAACAGTGGAAGAAATGTGTGAAAGAAAGTAAACAAATTAAAGAGTGGTTACAGCATATTAATAGGTTGAATATTCAGGGATACAAGCCTAGCCTTTGAGGTAAATGTCACATGAGCCCACAAAACCACCTCTGGTGCCATTTTCAGACCAGAACTAGTCTGAATGGTCTAGTGAGCTAATCTCGTGAAGCATTTTAATGAGCTAACCCAGCACGGAATTATTTTAGCATCTGAGGCAAGCTCCTCCTCTCTGGTGGTGCTGATCCTGCTCGAGATCCTCCTCACAACGTTTTGGGTTTTTCTGAAGGGAGCATGTACGAGAGTGACAATAAAAGTCATGACATACCCACCGCCATAGTAACGAAGTGGCAAGTGGGGCAGATTCCCCGGAACACTGACAGGTTTTATAATCTGGCACTGGTGTTTTGCGGCCGCCCTTTCGTCTCCTCCCACCACCCCACTGCCCACCAACGGCGTCTCTGCTCATCTTCCAAAGTGAAGGATATGATCTCTCCAACCCATTCCAAATGCTGGTCACAGGAGGCTCAGTGCAAACCATAGAGCGTCGGCAAATATGGCATCCCTACCAGATTCTTTTCTTTCCTTGGACCTGCTAAGCACCTATTTTTAGTTTGAGTAGAAAGTAACTGCTTGGATTTCTTTTTTATTTTTCCACTTTCTGGCAAAATTATCAGGATGAAAGAAAACAGAGCAAAAGGAATATTTCCACACAGCTGGGCTGGTCCTCCCTTTCACGGAATCCTGCTCTGAGATGGCCTCGTTTCTTTATTTAATATACTCCTGAATCCTACCCCACCCCCAACCATACAAGTATTTGTTCTAGAAAAGTTTAGAAAATAAATAAAAGCACAAAAAAGAACATAAAAAAACACCCACCCATGATCCCGTTCAGCACTGTTAACACTCTGGCAGACATCCTTTGAGTTTTCTTCATTCCCACCCTCCCTTCCCCCAGCAAAAATAAAAGCTTTAGCAATGTCATATATTCCAAAAACAAATAAATAAGTTGTAGGTAGTGTCAGGTAATCTGCTTTTTCCACCTAGAACTGTACAGTCATAAACTTTCTCTCTCATCTTATGTGTACATCCTTCATTATCTCTTAAAGTTTAATTCCTAGAAGTAGAATTGTTGGGTGAACGGGTAGAAGTATTTTTAAGCTGTTGATACATTTTGCCAAGTGCTGACATGACCTCATTTCTCGACATCTACAAAGCTCCATATGCCCCCTGCATCCCACCTCAAGCCCAGTGAGGAAAGACAACGAGGAAGACAAAGCCTAGGAGGGCAGCAGCAGATATGCCTCAACTATGTTAAATGACTCTGGCAGTTTTCCATAAATTACACGGTTATAAACGTAAAGTTTTCCTCTAGTGCAACATCTTGAATTTCCACGTCTGTGACACCCATATCGGAGACTGACTTCTCTGGCTCCTGGCTTAGATGCAGCCAATACCTGACATAGTCTCCACTCTTCTTATTCACACTGTAGTTTGTGAGGTGCATGAACTGGTTCCGAATGTTCTTGACTCCTTGATCATATCGCACAGTTGCAAACCTGAAAGAAAAGACACAGTTATTAAAAACCAGGAGCAAGGTTTCAAGAAAAGACAGGCAAGAGCTCAGGACCAATGAGATAGGAATAATGGAGAATGACAACATTTATAAATACTGGGTGCTTGCAAGTGCCAACTCTCATACCCAATGATTCAAATATAATAGCACATTTAAGTCAACGCTAAGACAATCCTCTGAAGTGGTAATATTATATCTAATTTTAAAAATAGATACAAAAATGTGAGCTTAGAAAGATTAAGTAGTTTGCTCCAAATCACACTGACTCCAAAACCTATACCCTTAACCATGAGATGCTGCTTCTCTTATATAGAATGTTAAGCCAGTAGGAACAATGAAAAATGAAAATAAGCCATGTCATAACTTTCTTTTTTTGGGTAAGATTTATTTATTTATGCATACAAGAGCTGGGGTATAGGCCAGAGGTACGGGGGAGGGGGGTGAGAGGATTCACCAGAGACAGTGGGAAACAGAACAGGCTGATTGACTGAAATACACTGCTGCTAAGCAGCAGACAAGTCAGGAGAGGTCTGCTACGCCATGTGGGTCAACTCCCTGGCCGGGGATGGAACTCTTGCTGCAGTGGCTGCAGACAGCTTCATAGGTTGCGTCTTAACCCCTTGCACTGCCAGGGAGACCCTCATGTCATAACTTTCAACCTGGGAAACTGTATATAGAATGCAATTGGGTGTAGGATGACAGGGCACTAGTTAGTCAATAAATAAGTGTCTACCTAGTTCCTGGTATGATACCATTCTTTGTAAAATAATTGAGCAAAAAGAAAAAAAGGACAGGATAGTCATATGTACACTTAAAACTCACATTCACAGAAATAAGAGAACTGATGTATAAAATTCATTTAAGAAAATAAAATGGCAGCATTAACAGCAGACAAAGCCTAGGTCAGCGGAATAGAATAAATATGAGGATAGTGCAGGAGACTAATTTCTGAATTTGGAATGAAGGCCAAAGACAGAGGGATTAAATATGGAGCCCACTGAAAAGAGGGCTGCAATTTGATATCCTGGACTATGGTCAAAAGAAGACCAAAATACAAAATAAATGTGCCTCTGAAGGAAGTAACCAGGGAAAAAGAAAACTTTCCAGTGATGCTCAACATCAACAAAAGGATACTCGAGTCGAACGGTTATGGTAAATATCAACCCCTGTTTACATACCACCACAACCATATCACCCTCCACTAAAGTGGTTTTCCCATGAGGCACATCCAAGTGTGTGAAAAAAAATCCTGGAAGCCCACAAGTCTATTTTCATATGATTTACAAATTATTTACATATGCTTACTTAGACTATGAAGTCAACATGATATTTTACCACATTAAAGGAGAGCATTAAAAACTTTTCCTCTTCTCTGTTTCTTCTCACCCACCCACTATCTCAACTTCATAATTCCCAAGAAATACACAAGAGTCAAAAAAAGAAACGTGAAAAATATCCAAAGAAACTCACAAAACTGAAACAAATACGCATGTAGTCAGGAAGAAGGATGTGGACAGAGAGAAAATGTTGGCCAAGCACACAGAGATAAGGGATAAGAGTTTGATGAGTATTAATTAGATCTACACATATGAAGGACCCCAGATTTTCCAGAAACTTCCAACAGTTATCACCTAACTTCCAATCATGTTACTTCACAGCAAGCAAATCTGGCTTATATAGCCCAATCTTCTTCCACAGAGATTTTCTAAGCAAGTGAGAGAGACATTTTCTGAATTGCCCTGAAATGCAAAGGGAGCCCATGCTGGCCCCACAGAGGCTTCTGGCCCCACCCAGACATTATCTCAGTGACATACCACCTGCCATTCTCTCCCCCAAAGAATAATGATTTAAAAGGAGGGAAAAAGTTCTGCTTAAGAGACAGAGGTTTTTCATCTCTCCTACACACGAGTATCTGATCAAATCTGGTCAACAACACGAAGAGACTGGTGAACGCCTGGCTGTTCACTGCAACTGGCACCCGACTCATCCATCATCGCTACACTCCTTTTTGCAAGAGGACTGCATCCCTTAAATGTAAGTTGTCTGCTTCCCAATCTTCCTTTCTGCGGGGGAAGTTTAGATTTTGAGGCCCCAGCAAGGACAACATTATTAATGTCATGGAGTGGGCATCGACAGAGAGTAAGGAGCAGTTAGAATTGAAGGGGGGAAAACAAAAGTCAAACTTAGGCTCAGTGGAAAGGTAATATAAAAGGTCACTTCTAAAGCAAAAGGGCTGCGCTCCATTTTACTAAGCTAACAGGAATGTAGACGACCGTATATACAAAGGAAAAAAATCAGTGTGTGGGCTCATCTTTCCTCCTAAAACAGGAAGATTTTATTATTCTCACTAAATCCATATTGAATATACCACATTCATCGCTGATCACCATTTTCCATATTTTCTTCTTCTTGTCTAACCAGAGGTCCCAGTAGTCGCAGATTGAGCCTACTAGTCACTTTCTAACTGACCGACAAAGATTCAATTGATTTTAAATTTTTAAATAAATTTTAGTAAGGTAACAGTTTATAACAATATATAAATTTCAGGTGTACACTGTTGTATTTCAATACAGAGCTTTTTTTAAACACTTGAATTACTTGGCCCACATTTAGAAAGCAGACCTTTACTGCAGCTCCGTAGCTGCAGTACAGAGATGTGAGAGAGATGGAGGATAGGATCGAAAGGCAGCCCTGAGACAGTACAAGGAGCTTATCCAATAGGGTGGCAGTCTCATGGGGTCAAAGTTCACACAAGGTGAGCATCTGAATGGGGGCAGTGGCCAGGGAAGTTGGGAGATTGGTTTTATACAAGGGGATTGAGTAAATAAATATATTGAAGATGATGGGAGACAAATTTCTTACCCTTGGGAGAAAAGAGATCCAGAAATATGGAACTGGTAAAAGCTAAAAGGAATCCTTCAGTTATGGACTAGAAATGGAGGTATTAGTATGAACTCCTGTGTTGTAATGCACAGACATATGGAAATAAACACAGATGTAGATGTTTATGTACATATTTATGTATTTCCTAGGTCTGTCCACTGCAAGGATCTAGAAGCAGCTAGCCCAGAGCACTGAGCATATCAAGGCCCCCAGATCTTGAATTCTAAATACAATTCTCCATAAAGATAACCAGTGCTCCTTGGTGAAGGTGGTTGATTCCAGGGCTGAAGCAGAGAAGGAACAAAATGAGCCTGAAATATCATGTGTTCAGAGAATGAAGGGACATGTCAAAAGGACACAAAAATCAGTTCAATGGCCAGATAAGGGGCAATCTCAGCTCTAAAGGAAGTCATGACAGTAAGGATTATATCCCATAAATAAAACAGGAATCCTTGAGTCCACATTGGTATTAAATCAGTAATACCAATACATAAATGGGAAGGGACGTTCTTCCTTGATCAGGTCTTCTCTTGCTAAATGATAAAAGTAAAAGCACTGAATGACGGTATTAGAAAATCATCATTCAGCAACCTTCACAGTAAAAGTTCATGTGGGCAAAAAACATTAATGGCTATTAAGATTATTGGATAAAAATGAGATGAGGAATAAGATTTTACATGGTCTCAAAGTATCTCCTCATATAATACTGACTAGTCACAGAGGGGGAGCAAAGCATTACAGTAGAGAAATCTGGCAGACATCACCTTAAGCAAATGGTCAAACACCATTAAATGGTTACCTTGTGCCGACAGACGCAGCGCGATAAGAACACAGCATGCGTCTGCAGCATTCTGGGTCTTAACCTGAGAAAATACCTGACAAACCCAAAGGGACAGTCTATAAAATGACTGACCTGAAATCTTCAAAAATACTAAGGTCATAAAGGTGAGGCACTGCTCTAGACCCAAGAGCACAAATGAGTCATGACAACTAATGTAGCGATGTGATCCTGGATTGGACTCTTCTGCTATAAAGAACTTCACTGTGTTAACGGGCAAAAGGTGAATGGGGACTCTTCATACTGTTTGTATAACACCTTTCTACGTTTGAAATGGTTCAAAATTAAAAGTCTAAAATAAGTCTAAAAACAAGGATAAGCTTCTCAACAAAAAATCTACATCTTCAGCCTCCCTTAAGAAAACCACAAGATCTGAAAAACAAACCAAAAAAAAGCCCCGTAAGATCTGGCTAAATACTACCTGCTTGAGTGCATTTAGGCTGCTCTAGCAAAATACCAAAAGCTGGGGGGCTCATATACAGCAGAAATTTATTTCTCAGGTCCCAGAGAAAACGGGCAGGCTTTCTTTTCTTTGCCAAATCTGAAACCCTGGGTACCACTTCACAGCCTACTGATTTAATAGAGAACTATAAGTGCACTTTTTTAACCACACTGAAACATCTATTGGTTATCTTTACACCCTGACAATATTTTCACTCTGACAATAACTCACAAACCAAAAGCTACACTCCTTTTCAATTTCAGTTGTTCCTCTTTGAGAATTAAAACAAGAGTAGTTGGCCTAAAACTCCTGAGTGTTGAGAAAAGAATTTCAACTGTACTGGATAAGCTTAAACTGGATAAACTTAAACTGCATCTGAACAGCTTGTTCCAGAAACTTTATCAAGATGGAACCAAAGGAAGGAAAACACCAAAGTTTGTGAGATCATTTAAACTCTCTTTTTCCATTCAAAAACTATCCTGTGTACTTTGCTAGTGAAAAACCATGGTGACAGCATCTAAGGGGAAAGCCCCGGTATTGTAAAATAAAAAAAAAAAAGGATGTTTAAAAAATAAAATAAATAATACACCAAGGTTTAAAAAAAAACCTACCTTGTTTGTCTAAAAATATGTCACCAGAGTCAGATCACGGAGAGTTAACCTCCTACTTTGAGAGCTATACATTCTAACACATGTGACCAACAAATATAGAAAAAGCAGAGAGGAGGCCAGCCTTGAGGAGGCTCTGGCTGTACACAGGTTATCTTCCGGCAGGTGTAGCTATTCAGAGCCAGAAAGGCCTGGAGGATGAAGAGACAACACCTCAGGCAGTCTTGCCAGGAGCCACTGGGTTTCATCCTGGCCTGACCCAGAAAAGTCTTATGGAAGAGAACAAGAGGCCCAAGAGTTCTCTGATCTGCTGTCAACCAGCTGCAGCAGGGAGACTGCCAAAGCGCTACAGTGACTAGGCAGCACCCTCCGGAGCCGTCTGGGAGGGGATTACCAGCCTGATCCCCTGTCTCTAGAGCCAGAAATGACTCAAACTTCACAAACAGCAAGGGCCTGCCAGGGAGGGTGACAATGAGCCCTGGAGAGGGTTTTCTCCCCCTTGTCGGTATCTCGCCCCCCTCCCCTTGCTGCTGTGGCAGATTCTGGACAGTATGCAGCCTGTGAGGTAATCTGAATTCCTTGGCAACCAGCAAGCACCTGAATTCTTTCAAAACCACAGGAATCCAGCAGAGAAAAGGTAAATATCCCCGCGGAGCCAGTGTTAATTAGCAAGGAAGGCTACTGAAGAAGGAACTGGGGTGGGGAGGCAGGGAAGGCCTTACAAATGCTTTGGGGTCTTTTCTGAATTTCCACTGAGTAACATGGTAGAGGCAGGAAAAGGCCGTCCCCAAATGGGGCCTACTCTGTGTCTTCTGCTCCCCCCCCCCCACAGCATGGGTAGAACTCTCCCAGTTCCCTGCGTGGATTCCCCCCAAGTTGCTAGTGCTGCCTATCTTTGGATTTTGACACCTTTGGTTTTTAACTCAATTTTGCTTTAATTTTCTATTTTTTCTCTTTCAGGGGAAAGTTGGATACTAGCTTTGTCTCAAAAGAGGAAGGATCTCATCAAAGCAATTAAACCACACGATGGATCCACCTAACACTGTAAAATTCAGGACAAAGTCTTTCTGGATAACACCTCTGACGGGAAAGAGAATCCACACCATTTTGGTAGAGGAGTGCACCCCTCTCTGGAAACTGAGTGTCCCCTGCTGGTGCAAAACAGCAACATACATGTGAAACTCAAAAGTAGGGTGGAGTGCTGTCTGGGACAGAACGCTGGATTCAAATACCAAAAAGACAATCTTAACTCCTCAATATTTTGCTCACATACAAGAAAATAATCGGAGTTTTCCTACTTCTCATGTTAATAAAACAACTAGGACAACTGAAACTATTAGCAGAAAGAACCTATGAAGGGTTTTTTAAACTTCAGTAAATTTAAGAGGTAAGCACTTACACAAAATACTTATTTCACAAAACTATCTTGTGAAATGAACGGAACCTGTCACCTAAGCATTTATTTTGAGGCCCAAAACAGAAGCGCTATATGAGATAAAGACCTCTTTTCTACAGAAAGAAACCAATTACATTTGCTGCCAGTTCCCTTTAGGAAAGATTATGGTTTTCCTCATTGAACCTCAAAATAAAATAGCCTAATGATCTCATCACAAACATTATCTTTAGTAATGTCTACATAAAACACACGTGACCCCAGATTACTAGAGGCTGCAGATCAGGAGGTGCTATGGACTGTCGCTGAATGGAATGACACAGTCGAGCGGGTTCTGAGGATTAGAGAGAAGCAGATGAATGCCAAGATACACAATGAGTTAAGACACAGGAACTTAGACACTTGGAAATCATTGTGCAGAACAGTGCACCCTCCTAGGACTCTAACAGTCTATCACACATCCATGCACTGTTCTTTTAGTAAAGCTTTGATGTTCACTTACATCTTTAGGTAGAACAAGTCAGCAGAGCCCTGAAAAATTTCTGTTTTGGGGTTTCACTTATGTCTTGAGTTTTTAAAAAGCTGTTTTCCAAATTACTCTCAGGGAATGCATCCTTTTACACACACACACACACACACACACACACTTAGCTCCTGCTGGAGTCAAGAGAAGACAGTGACACAATTCAGTGGATTCTGACTTTCAACACACACCCAATAGCAAAAGCACTGCCTGTCTACAGCATGTTCTATAATAAACATTGGCATTGCTCTCAGGCCACACCTGAAACATGGGGGCCTTAAAACTATGCAAAATCTGACCAATAGAGAGGGCGATTAATATTGTAGGTCACCTGACTTTAGAACAACGGCTGATATCCTTGAGAACCAGTAAACAGAACCTTGATGTCATTTCATTATTTGAAAAATCAAATTTGTGGCATAAGCAACAAGGTAAGTGAAGAGCAGTGGAGGGAGGAGAATGGAGAAGTTCATGATATGTAAGAGGAAGGCTCAGCACATCTCTAGTTATAAAGCAGAAAATTCTCAGCACTTTGTATACCTAAGCAGAAGTAAGGGGTACTGGCTCCTTTCTTTGTGTTCCAGATAATAGGGGGACTCAGCTTTTATTACAGTACTTCAAAGTCTGAGAACACATGTGTCAAAGATCACTGAAGAAAACTTCTTTCCTACAAAAATTTGACTAGAGCTAATAATCAGTTTGTGCTCAGCCCGGTCCAGCCCTTTACCTAACAACTGAGAAATGTTTTAGTTTTCCCCTTCCTCAAGTTTCAAGGAACCAGAGGCCAGAACTAGGGAGCTTCAATAGCCTCTAGTGTTCACAGGGTTCAAACTCATAAATCTTAGTCAGGAATATGACAGGGTTCATAAATGCTGTCACTGCCACCTAGTGGTGGAGGGAAAACACAGCTCCGCCAACTAGGATCTGGCTAGCCTGATCCACTGTAGTTACAGAATGCATCAAATCTGAGTACAAGAAATCATGAAAATACCATTCAAAAATAATAGTTGTGAGAGCATGGGAATATGTGTCAAAGCACCTATATGTGTATATATTTAATTAGGAGCCTTCTTTTATCCGTGGCACTTCCCAGCTTCAAAGAGCATCTTCTAAAATAAAGAAATACAGGGGCCTCCCTGGTGGCGCTAGGGGTTAAGCACCACACTATGAAGCAATCTGCAGCCTCTACAGCACGGGGGTGGGGGGAGCGATCCCCCCATTTGATCCCCATGTGGGTTGCTACCCACATGGCAAAGCAGACCTCTTCAGCTCACCCGCTGCTCACCTCGCAGTGTATTTCAGTCGTCTGCCTGTTCTGTTTCCCACTGTCTCTGGTGAATCCTCTCACCAGTCCCCCACCCCCCACATCTCTGGCCTGTACCCCAGCTCTTGTATGCATAAATAAATAAATCTTTAAAAAAAATAAATAAAGAAATACATACAGACAATACTTTTTCACTTGCTGTGACTGCTCACAGATGCAAGCGCCTCCTACACGGCGACACTCTGTAAGACCACTATGCACAAAGGAACTTCAGGGCATGACAGTTGGTAAATACATATATTAGTTTTATGGGGAGAAAGAACACAAGCACAATAAAATTATGTACTTGGTTTAAAGATGTAAGAGTCTATGAAAACACTGTCACCTGCAAGATTCTATGGACCTGGGCCTCCCCAGTGGCACAGCAGTTGAGTGCTGGGTTGCGAAGCTGCCCGCAGCCTCTGCAGCTCCAGTTCGATCCCCCGCTGCTCCCCGGCCACTGGAGGAGGGTCCCACATGGAGCGCAGACCTCTCCTGCCGTCCCGCTACTCCCCTCAGCAGTGTACTGCAGTCTGCCTGCTCTGCTCCCCGCTCTGGCTCTGGTGAATTCTCTCACCCTCCCGCGCTTCTGACTGTACCCAGAGCTTGTATAAATAAATAAAAATAAATCTTTTAAAAAAAAAAGATTTTATGGATCTGGGAAAGAAAATTTCAAACAATTACAAATTGAACGTTACTTTGTAAGTAAGCCATATTACCTTAAAACCTAAAAAATGCCTCAGGGAAAACAGAATAATACAACCACTGAAAAGTACATTACTTTCAGGTTAAAAAAAAAAGGCCAACAAAAGAAATACAAAAGGGCAAGAGACATCTCTCAGGTCTTGAGCTGTGCAGTTCAAATTCCTGCTCCACTACCAATCAGCTGGAAGATATTGGGAAAGTGACTTCAAGTTCCCTTACCTCTCTAAGCCTCAGTTTTCTCAACTGAAAAAATGTATCAACTATTGTTGTGAACATTAAATTAAGTGTCTGCAGGGGACTGAGGTGACAGTGCATGGGTGCATTGGTGAAGGAAACTCTATGGGACTACACCTGAGGGGGTAGGGGGAAGCAAGTATTGTTTTAAAATGAACAATGATGTAAAAAATAAAAAAAATTAACAAAAAAAATTAAAAATCCTAAAAAAAAGAAAAAAGAAATAAATTAAGTGTCTGATGTATATGTGAGGTTTTATTTTTTCTTTCTAGATCTATTGTGAAGAAAGGACAATGGCAAATTATCTTAATACCCTAGAGTCTTCATAATAATTGCCACTTCATGAAGATACTGTGTGATCCTGGATGCCTGGTGGGAAAGGTGTGTATGGTTATTCATGTGTGTGGATGTGCAAGAGAGACCATAAAGTAATGACTGACTTTTATAACCCAGAATTGAACATAACAGAAAGAAACAGCCTAACCTTAATGCACTTCTGAATGGGCCTACTCTAGTATGCAGCTCCCACCCCCACAGTCTTACCTAGCCAATCCTTCTTCATAGAGATAGATGACAAGAGGATCATAGGAAGTCACAAGCACATAGAGGCGCACATCAAACTTGAAATCTAGGGGGAAAAAATTGGATTCATAGGAAAAACTAAGTTCATTTGTTTTCTGTTCATAATGAACAGGAAAATTTACAACCAACAAAAACGAAAGAACAGTTCTCTTTCAATAAAACACACACTGTCTATCTTGCCTTGGGAGATAATTAACTGAACACAAATATATACATATATATAATCAGTGTATATGTTATGCACATATATATATATATATAAAATGAGGGCAATAAAGTTTATATATGTGTATTGCACAGTTTTCATATATATCTGCTACAGTATAACCAATGAAGCTGTTTCTTTTTTATTTTCTCATTTCATCTTGACAATATTCTCATAAGGTAGATAAGCATGTTTGAAGCACGGTCGCCAAGAATTTCCAACTGCTTAATAAAGGGCTTACTAGAGAAGATTATGAAAATGTTGATTAAAAAGTTAGCGTGAGTGAGCCCAATCAGCCAAGGGGCTAATCACAACTCACCATCTATGAGCAGGGGGTTGTTAATGTAACGGGAGACCAGGATGTTCTCTTCCAGGGAAATCTGGTTTGGCTATTGAGAAAAGAGAAAAAAATAAAAGGGCAGAAATGCAAAGGAATCCTAACCAACAATAAGGGAACAGTTTTTAACCTTTTAGAAACAGCTAATTCAGTAAAATAAGATGCTAAGAAAAGCTTTCCCTCAAGCTACCCATATATTTAATCGGCTACATAACACATCACTTCCATAAACATAGTGGGCATAAAATTACGAGGAAAAAATTAATTCACAAGCACCCTCTCACATAATGAATAGAGAGAGCCTAAGGGGTTTTAAAGATTTATACACATTATTAAAGTTACATGCCAAAAAAATAAAAATTACTTAAAAATAAATTAAACATTGCTTTCTTCCAAATGTAAAGTAGGATGGAAATTTTAAGACACTACCATTGTTCTTAAGTGAAGGCATTCCTCAAGTTGCTTAGAGAATCTAAGCGACTGGTCTTTCCACAATGGGTCTCCTTGATTCACTCAAAGAAACTTACTCTGTAACTGTAAGCAAGGCTGAACAAGATCTTTTTTTAATAAAGTTATTTACACAAACAGTGAATACTGCTGGACACTGTATAAGACACTGGGGATACAGATGAAGAAGGCAGATACAATGCCAGCCCTCAAAGAGCCTAAGCCTCTACTCCAAAGAATTTAATTTAGGTAGAGAGATAGCAAAATATGTCATTTGAAAGATAATAAAGCAGGGCCCGCCTGGTGGCGCAGCGGTTGAGCGCTGGGTAGCGAAGCTGCCCACAGCCTCTGCAGTGCCGGTTCTATCCCCAGCTGCCGAGCCAGGGTCCCACATGGCGGGCAGACCTCTCCTGCCGCCCGCTGCTCCCCTCAGCAGTGTACTTCATCATTCTGCCTGTTCTGTTCCCCGCTCTGGTGAATTCTCTCACCCTCCCATGCCTCTGACTGTACCCAGTGCTTGCATAAATAAATAAATAAATCTTAAAATAATAATAATAATAATAAAGCAGCATATCTGCAAGTGCAGAATGTGAGGGTACAGCATGGAAATGCACAGTCAACAGGACCAGGCCTGAAGGCTTGCCCCGGAAGGTTCGGGAGTGGGTGCTGAAAGCTGTCAAGCACACACTGGAAAGAAGAGTGCCTCATGGGAAGACAGCACCCACAAAGTCCAGTGGAAAGGAGAGAGCAGGCATCCTGAACAGGGGCTAAAAGACTGACTGGGAAAGAACGAAAGGTTTGGTTAGGCAACAAGGAGGGAGGGACCCCACGGGCAGTAGGATATGAATCCTGGTAAGGGGAGTTAGATTTCACAAGATGGGAAGCAGGAAATTACCACGGACTCTTGATTAAGTAAATAATATGATTAAAATATCTGGGATTAAACAATTCTATGTGAGATTAGGTAAGACAGAAAAATCAGTTGAAGTCACCACAATCCAAATAGGAAGGACAAAAGGACTCCAAAAGGGAAGTGTCTATAAGAATAATTGTGATGATAATAGCTACCATAGCAGCAACAAAGATAATTAACATTGGTAGAAAAAAGTAAAACTTAATAAATGTACCTAAAAATGTGCTCTGTGCCATGCACTGTTCTAATCCTGCACAAGTACAACTGAATGTAATCCTCACCGAGCTCCATGCAGTAGGTAGACCACCATCTATATATTACAGATGAGGAAAGAGTCAGAGAAGTTTAGGAATCTGCTCAAAGTCACTAGCACTTATATGAAAGAGCAGCATCTGAACCCGAGCAGTCTGCCTCAGAGGCTTAACTCTTAAGCACTGCTCACCTCTTTCTCCAATGTTCTGATCTGTAATAATTGTCCCCCAAAGTCAAAAGCATGTCTTTACAATAATGCATTTGTTATCCCAAATACTAGTTATCGTAAAATACGGTTGACTTTCTGACCCTGTAAAATTATACACAACCACAATGAGCAATTCTGGAGGCAAGATAATGAGATCCCCTTCTCATTTCCCACTGTGGCTATCTCAACTTTCACAATCCGTCTCTATGCACACATCATGTGGACACTGCAACATCGGTACTGATTCATGCTCGCAGACTCAACCATCCGCATCATTTTCTGACTCCCCTATCTTGACCAGTTTTTCACAAATACTATCTTCATTCTGAGTCATCTCAGTGTGTAAAGCCTGGTGTGATCACACCACGAAGCAGTTAGGTGCAGGTTGTGTTCCAAACGTAAACAATCGCAGCTTTCTTCCAGGTGGGTGACAACTACAGGCTGTAAGAGATGTATGTCACCCAACTGTCCCCCGAAACAGGAGACACAGGCAGCAGTCTTCTCACCACATCCCGTCTAACGCCCAGGCCATTTCCTTTCTTCCCTTCCTCATCCTACACATTTGTCCTTTGAGGACTGCATAACATGGCCTCCTACATTCCTTAGGTCACTTTAATGTGTGTTCACTGGTCTGTATCATTTCTATCTACACTAGAAATTCAACTGTAAGCTCACAGAAGAAAAGATTAGCTTGGGCAGAATTTCTTTATATACTGCTGTATACTGGTTAGCAACTAAAGACAGCTTTTTGATATCTTCAAGTCTGTTTCCTTTCATCCATCCCCAATGAACTCTTTTTTTTTTTTTTTTTCTTTGTGGGACCCTCTTGAACCGGCGCTGCAGAGGTTGCAGGCAGCCTCGCAGCCCAGCGCTCAACCGCTGCGCCACCAGGAGAGGCCCCCCAATTAACTCTTTTTAAATGATTTCCATTCTAAGCTAAAACCGCCCTCCAAAATGCGCTAAAGCAAGAATCTGCATTGTTGGGAAAAGCTGAAAACACATCCACTCTTTTAACTGGATTTTAAGATTAAAGCTCAAGGTATCTTAAAAAAGTTGCTGTAAGGGAGACTGATACAGCAGTGAAAGTATGATCTGGAATCAGCTAGACCTGAGTTAGACTCTGACTTTACAATTACTAAGGAAATAATAGTAATGTGAAAAGAAAGAAAGTTAAGTATGAACAAAGAGAAAGCAGAGGCCAAGTGAGCAGGTGGAGCCCTCTGTGAAGGGCGCACAAGATGCCCTGTCTACCCAGTCAGGGGTCAATGTTAATTTCCTGAAGCCTCTCCCCTAGAGCCATGCACAGACATCCCACAGAAAGGTATTTTCCTTCTAATAAAATCTTCTATCACCTAAATTCTTGCCTTTCTCACAAATTACCCACCAATGATCATGAGGTAAGGTATACCCTGTCTGCATATTGACACATGCCCTTAAAAACAAGTTCTTCTGCCATGTGTTTGTCTCAAAGTGCCCACTATCCTGAGAAACCCCCACTTATCTCCACTCCTGACATAGGAATCAACTGCTCCCTGGGGTGGGAGGAGGGGGGCAGTCTCTTCTTCCAGGTTAATCCTCATTTTGACTTCCAAAAATAAATATTTTTCCCTTCGTACAGTGCTGCATAGTATTTTCAAGTTAAGTACTTGATACAGTTCTTATAAAAACTAAATGAGATTATATTTGGAAGGTACAGTGAGAGGCACATACTTAATGCTCAAGAAATATTAGTTGTTATTATTGCTGCAAATTCAGTATCAATGTGATTCTACCTACAAAGTTCCAGAACTCCTCACAGCCTCTACATGCTATTCTACTTGGAGCAATGCTCTGAGCTATAATAAAGATAGATAAGAATTAGCAAGTCCCTACTCCTCAAAAGGGGGTCCCTAAGTATTTGTTGAACAATGAGAAAAAGAGAGAGCACATAAGCTAACAGTATATAAACAAATGAAAACAAGAGAGCTGTACAGAATTTTATTTACAAACATAGGAATGAAGGCAGGAGCCAAATTCCTCTTCTGATAGTATAAAATCTCAGGGAAAATATTAATATTGTATGTGCTATGGATAATGTGTGAGACAAAGAAGACTAAATTTAACTTCCATAATCAAATTCATTCCTTCATCAGAAAACACCAGTTCTTTCCCCTTCTTGATTTTAATATACTAAATTGGGAAAATATGGCATTTAGTCATGGTTACTGAAGGAGCTGGAGCAAACACAACTCTGTCCTTGATGCTGTATTTCTAGAGTTAAACTAAGGAGCACATCATTAAGAGACCACATTCACCAGTCTGCTGAGATGCTTCCATCTGGAGGAGCGCCTACTTCTCTCTTCAGTTATTACATAAAAGCAGTGCTTTTTCTAGCTTTTATCCTGTTCTCGTAATGGGAAAAGTTGCTATTTGCAGATATTTTCCAAGAGCTTATGACTATTATCGGGTATTTTTAAGAAGAGGCCCTCTCACTCCATAAGAAGACAAGATGTTTTAACTTGGCCCTCACACCTCACTCTGCCCACCCCCTCTGCACCCAAAGTCCCTCCCTCCCTCACATTAGTTCTGCTCCAGACCCTTAGCCTGAACACTCCACCCCTCCCCCTCCAATCTGAAAGGAAAGCAGGCAGCAGCCCTGGAAACAGTTACTTCATCCACTTGGCTAATGGATCACATATTCCATGGGAAAGAATCCAGGTATGGAAAAGAGGGGATGGTTAGTCCTGTGTGGAAGGAGGAGGAGAAGAGTATTAACTACATGGCTTGCAGGTCTGGGTAAAAGGTGAGAGAAATCCAGTTTGGGAGTGAAATGGGAATGTTTTCCCATTATGTCCACGTTGCCAGCTCCCCTGGTGCCTGCTGGCATCTACCCAGGCTTCTGTCTGGCACCTCCACCAAATACCTCAAAGCATCAGACTCATTCCAAAGCTTCATGGAGGGGGAAGGGGAGACAAAGGATCCTGCCAAGTACTTTGATCTATGCAGGGGGTCTCTAGGGATTCAGTCCAGGGAGAGGTGGGAGGGAGAACGGGAGCTTGCCAAACACATTCTCTCAAGGCATGTCACCCCCTATATGAGACTACGCATCCAGGGAAGAGTTAGGGCACAGCGTTCTCAGCCCCACCAAGAAAAGTTTAACTTTTCTATTCTTTATAATGTTGGTTTTAAAAGAACAAATCACTAGGGCAAAAAGCATTCCAAAAGAAAAAAAGTCCCATATGAGCTGGGAATAGATCCTATTCTTTTTGACTCATGTCTAAGAAAATAAAAAGTAAACTTGTACCACAGTTGATTTTCAATAGCAATTCCATTTGGCAGTTACACCCCAAACCCAAACTAGAGCTGTCTATGAGATTCAAACAACACTGGAACTCCTGGCGTGGAGCTGAAGAAAAAGCTGTCAGACAGGAGCCTTCACGCCAAGGTCAGGATGGACATGAGGAAAGCGATCCAAGGCATCTGACCTGGGCCTTAAGTCACATGAGGGTTAAAGGCCTCCAGATGACCCTGAACTTGTAGGCCTGTGGCGAGAGCAGTTGTATTGTTATAGGGCAGGGAGAGGGGCAGACCACCCTGTTACAGTATCAGAACCAGCACAATAAAGGACTGGCCATCAATGTTTACTGTACAGTTTTTAAGTCCAGACTGAATTCAATGACTTTCCAATGTAAGAAACTGCAGAACGTTACTTTCTACATGTACAGGAAATAGTTCCAAGCACTTGAGAAGTGGTGGATTTAGGACGGAGAACTGACGACACACACAACACAGCTGCCTCCCCTTCCTCTTCTCTCCCATAGCCCCTCGGCAATGACAGAGAAGATATTTTTCAAAGAAAGAAATGATAAAGCTAGAAAATAGTTAATGAAGCCAACAAAAGACTAAAAGTTTAAGGAAATCCTGAAAGATAGAAAGCAGATGGGATCAGGTTGGGAAAACAGAGCACAGGAAGGCCCAGCCCAAAATATCAGAGGTGAGCATGATCTTCCCAAGGAGGCCCCTGAGAAGTTTTACACTGAGTGAAAAACAAGAAGAGCAGCAGCGGGCCAAGGAAGAAGAACCAGATAACTGACTACAAACAGAATTCAGAAGAGTAGGCCACTGGGCCTGGTTCAACACCCAAAGCTCTGCCCTCAGGAAAACTTTATAATGATATTCGGGAGGACACCTTGTGTGAGTGCAGGTATGTAAGAGAAGAATGGAACTTGAGGTTGCTCTGTTCCTACCACAGATACCAAGGGGAAAATTAAAGGAAAGTTAACTGTCCAAGAGAGAAATCACTAGAATCTTACTCTGTGCTACAAGTCCTGCCCTATTTTGGCAAGGGTGAGGTTCCTTACCACGTCCACCAAAGGTGAAGTTACACAAAATTCTCAGTCAGCTTCTCACCCAGGAAGAAGCTATTAGGGAAACCCACACCAGCTGAAAATTACATTAGTCTACTCTTTTGTTCAGAAATATGACTCAATACCTAAGGTCAATGAAATCGATAAAACCAATAGCAAGAAAAAAAGACAATCCTAAGAAATTAAAAAAAAAAAAGAAGAAAACTTCAAGAAAATTTCTATTAGTATCCTCAGGAAGACCAGCAGGTAAGTTAAGCAATAGACTGTAATTAAAATAAATAAAAAGCCATCAGAAAATAAGAATTTCTGGGAACTATGACTACCGATGTAGAAAAATAGTGGATGGAATGAATACTAAAACAGATAAAGCTCAAACAGTTGATCATAGGAGGTGAAGATAAGGGAAATCAAACAATTGAAAATGAGAGAAAAGTTAAGATGAAGACCCAGAATGCCTCAGGGAGGAGTTAAAAGGTACAACAAATGGACAATTTCCCCTGAACTAAAGAAAAACATTGGTTTCCAGATTGAAAGGGCCAATCAAGGGACTAAGAGGAAGAATGAAAAAAAATTCAGACTTCAATACTGGCTAAATTTCAGAATTCCAGTGCTGTAAAGCTTTCATTGATTTAAAACATTGTACTCAAACTTCATTTTCTTTATTTTTACCAGTAACTGCATTCTACCACCCTCATGGTCACCATGTTGTATTGCTAAGGAAAGTGTACAAAAGAAGAAATATAAAGCACAGTTTCTGAGTATTATACTGCTATTTTCTACTCCAGGTCAATTTTTTTTTTTTTTTTGGTAAAAGTATTTTGTCAAATACAAATATTATGTTTTCCCACAATAAATTTTGTGCTTTTGGAAAATAAATAAAGTTGGTTTGGATTAAAAAGATTTTTTTAACAAAAAAAAATCAAATACTTGGGAATAAATCTAACAAAAGAGGTAAAGGACCTATACAAAGAAAACTATAAAACACTGTTAAAAGAAATAGAAGAAGACACAAAGAAATGGAAAGACATCCCCTGCTCTTGGATTGGAAGAATAAACATTATTAAAATGGCCATCCTACCAAAAGCAATATACAGATTCAATGCTATTCCAATAAAAATTTCAATGTCATTCTTCAAAGAATAGAACAATTATTGATGAAATTCATATGGAATCACCAAAAACCCCAAATAGCCAAGCTCTCCTGAAAAAAAAAAAGAAGGGAATGGAGGCAACACACTCCCAGACTACAAACTACACTACAAAGCCATAATCATCAAAACTGCACGGTATTGGAACAAGAACAGACACACAGACCAATGGAATCGAATAGAAAATCCAGAAATAAACCCAAAGATTTATGGTCAACTAATCTTTGACAAAGGAGCAAAGAATATGCATTGGAGCAAAGAAAGTTTGTTCAATAAATGGTGCTGGGAAAACTGGGTCGCTACATGCAAAAGAATGAAGCTTGACTACTACCTAACACCATGCACAAAAACCAACTCAAAATGGATTAAAGAACTAGACATAAGACCAGAAACCATAAAATACATAGAAGGAAATATAGGCAAAACACTACGTGATATGCACATCAAAGACATCTTTACAGACACATCACCCAAAGCAATGATAGTGAAGGCAAAGATAAACAGCTGGGACTACATCAAATTAAAGAGCTTCTGCACAGCAAAAGAGACAATAACAAAAACAAAGAGAAACTCCACCAACTGGGAGAACATTTTTGCACACAACACTAATGATAAAGGACTGATCACAAAAATCTACAAAGAGCTGATGAGACTCAACAAAAACAAAGAAAATAATCCAGTAAAAAAATGGGAGGAAGAGCTAAAAAAAAAACTTCTCTGAAGAGGAAATGCAAATGGCCAACAGGCATATGAAAAAATGTTCAACATCACTTGTAATCAGGGAAATGCAAATCAAAACTACCATGAGATACCATCTTACACCAGTGAGAATGGCACATATTAAAAAAACTAGCAACAACAAATGTTGGTGAGGTTGTGAAGAAAAAGGAACTCTCCTGCACTGTTGGTGGGAGTGCAAACTGGTCCAACCACTATGGAGAGCTGTGTGGAGATTTCTGGACCTACTAAACATAGAGCTTCCATATGATCCAGCAATTCCACTCCTAGGTATTTACCCAGAGGACACAGACACATCAATTCCAAAGAGCACCTGAACCCCTATGTTTATAGCAGCACTGTTTACAATAGCTAAGCTTTGGAAACAACCCAAATGCCCAAAAATAGATGACTGGATCAAGAAGATGTGGTACATATACACCATGGAATATTACTCAGCATTCAAAAAAGATAAACACATGCAATTTGCAGCAACATGGATGGTGCTGGAAGGGATCATGCTCAGTGAAATAAACCAGAAAGAAAAAGAAAAATACTGGATGGTCTCACTCGTAGCAGGAATCTAGAAAACTTAAATAAGGGACCAGGAAAAAGAATAACTATAAGAAAGAAAATATCAAAATCAACAAACAACTATGAACCAGAGACACTCTATGGGGGGGTGGGGGGTGGGAAAAGGAGGGCTTGGGGTCAAAATAAGGGGGTTGTAACTGTATGGGAATATAAAAAATAAAATTTAAATTAAAAAAAAGATTTTTTTACTCAACTTATAAAGCAAAAAAATGGAAGAAAATGTGAATGTTATAAGCCTTTAAAATATAAAAATAATAAAAGCAATCAAGCAGATGGAATGTGAAAGGAGAGAAGGAGGTGATGTGAGTACAATAAATATCAAACTGAGAATTAACAAATAAATGTAATGTTGGGAAAAGAAACACACATCAATTATAAGAAGTTATTAGTCTTATTAATTACTAGTGACAAGTCTAGGGAATGAGACTGGGTTGGTATCTTATTTATTCTATATTATTCTATTTAAAAACAACTTGTAGTGAGGATTTTGCAAAAAATAATGACTGATGATTTTTGACAAAAGAGGATGAGGAGGACGAAGAAGAGGGAGGAGAAAGGGAGCAGCAGCAGTGAGGATGATGCACCACCTCAGGGCTCATTTCCTTAATGACCTTGAGGGTGGGAACCCACAATCCTACTCAACATGGAAAACAACTGTATATACTAGCAATTAGTATTTAGTGCTCAGGAATGACCATGATGAAAGTAGGAAAGGTACCTCTTTTCTGCTGACCCCAAAGGGTGCCCATCCCCCCTAACTGAATCAAGGGACTTTTTAGCCAGAGTAACAGCTGGCACGGAGGAGGCTGCTGCCAGTAAAGTGAACAGGGGAACAGCAGCCAACTCATGCTACTCTCAACTCACACTTCAGAATGCAGCTCTCAGAAGAACACCTGCTCTTAATGACCCAGATGCCTATTAGTAGCTCAGGCAAAGGGCGAAGCAGAGAAGGACAAGGAGAAAAGCACGGGGTGCTGCACATTTAAGGGGTGCCGCATACTTACGTTGTTGATCAGGTAGACGCCCCGCCCTCTAGAGGAGGCCACTGGCTTTACTATCCACGGTCCCCGATCCTTTGAATATGAATCTGCTCAAAGAAGGGGGAGAGAGAAACAAAGAGAAAAAAGGAACATGACTTTATCATCTTAAATTTCAACTAATGTTACCTACTCAGGTAGGCAAAGATTTTTCCAAATTTCTAAGTGGAAGGCAGCAGCTAAAATAGCCTGTATTTTTGGGCTAGCCTCAAAAATGAAAACAAAAACAGAGACAAGAAAGAGAGGAAGAGACAGAGAGAGGGGAAGAAAGGACAGGAGAGGCTGCAAGAGGGATGGAGGGACAGAGAGAGAAAGAGGAGGAAGGGAAAGAGGAGGAATAGCAAAATTACAACAATTACATATTTCTTCCACCATTTCCTCTCTTGAATAAGGAGATGAAAATAAAATAATAAATAAGGTAAGTATCTGAATGTAAGTCTATTACTATCACAAAAACCTTACGTATCTTTGGGGCCTTCCTGCACAGAGCCAGAGCAAGAGTACACTACAGCGCAGCCAATGCAGCAACTCTGTCCAGCTGCTCAGAGGTTACGTATCTTGGTTCGTGGCACAAGCGCAACCAATGACGCTGTCCGCAGCCTCTGCAGCATGAGGTCGATCCCCAGCCAGCCAGGGAGGTGACCCACATGGCCCAGCAGACCTCTCCTGTCTCACCCGCTGCTCCCCTCAGCAGTGTATTTCAGTCAATCTGCCTGTTCTGTTCCCTACTCTATCTCTGGTGAATCCTCTCATGCACCCCACCCCACACCTCTGGACTATATCCCAGCTCTTATATGCATAAATAAATAAATCTTTAAAAAAAAAAAAACAGCCTTACGGATCTTTGAGACTCTCACCCCCCTCAGCTACAGAACCTCCAGAAGCTCACACAGCAGACAAGTGCCAATGAGAGTCAGATCTAGGCCTCCTAATATGGTTACTTTCCTGAAGCAATTTCTCTGCGTTAATTTAACAAAAAAAAAAAAAAAAAAAAAAACAAACACAAAACACTAACATATCTTAAACAATGTGCAAGTGGACAGAAAGGACAACAGTGATTCAAAGGTGACCTTTACTTTTGTTCCTTTTCCAGGGTCAGGTTTACACTTTAAATACCTTTCGTTCATGGGGAGAGAAACCAGACAACTAATGCTAAGATTCCCAGAGGTTTGCAGCTGGCTCTGTCCCCAACTTCAGAAAGGTCTGAGGACGAGGGAGAGAAGCAGGGCAAAGGACTCTCTCTGACATGAATCTGTGCTTTCCAGTGTCCCCAACAGGAACTATGAGACTATGTGAGTGCCACAAACCAAGGCCCTGTTATCCACTCTCTCCCACCTTCCCTGCCTTCCCTTACTGCAACTGAATTAGAAAAATGATAACGTGCCATTCCCACTCCTAGAAATTAGTTGTGTTCATACATTTGAGAAATGTTACATGTTCAAGATTTTTCAGTGTTGTGTTATAATAGCAAAAGATGTCAGTTAATTAATATACTATATCACATATATGAGGGGCCAGCAAACTTTTGTAAAAAGCTCACCAATAAATAATGTAGGCTTTGTGAGCCACGCAATCTCTGTTTCAACTATTCAACCCCACCACAATGGTTTGAAAGTAGCCATAAACAACATGTAAACAAAGGGTCATGGCTATGTGCAATGAAAATTTATGGGCACTAAATTTCAGTTTCCACAGGCCACAAAATATAATTCTTCTTTTGATTTTTTTCAACCACTTAAAAAATATAAACTATTCTTAGAAACAGGTGAGAACCAGATTAGATTCATGGGCTATGTCTGCAAGACACCTGAACTACTGCTGGGACATTGAGCAGACACACAAAATGACAGCATTATTAATGAATAAGTAGAGAATCTCAAAGGTAGGCAGTTAGTGGGGGAAAAGCAAGGTGCAGGGCAACGTGAAGTGTAATATATGGTTTCCATTTTGCCAGATTCTGAGGAGAAGATGGACTGAGCATAGAAAAACTACTCACAACAACCAAGACATGGAAACAACCCAAGTGCCCGACAATGGTGACTGGATAAGGAAGATGTGGCATATATACACAACGGGATACTACCCAGCCATTTGCTAAGATTTACTAAGATCTATTATAGTTCTATTATAAATTTGTGGAATGCTGTGAAATCCAGTCAGCATAAATCCAGTCAGACAGCAAAATTTTGCTCATTTCTTAATCTCTCAGCCTCTCCTGCAACTAATATGGCCATAGGACACAACTCTGGGACTAATTCTATAATTATACATAAGCAGAGATCAGCTGGGGGCTGGGGGATAATTTTGCTTTTCCAGCACTGGCAGTGCAGGATCTTCCTATTGCCTTCTTCTTCCTGATTAGAGAGCTGTCCAATGGGGGAGTGGCTGGCATTGGCAAGTGTCCTTAGTTAAGCTTTTCAGAGTCATGGACCTCCAATTCTACTATGCACTGTAACCAGCAACAAAGGGCACCAGGAGTCTAGAAAGATCTATGCCATGTATTCCATCACCACACGAGGCACAGGTTAGGCGCATCCAGTTTTTCACATCTCTTGAGCTAGTTGCTGGTCTCTGGACTACAGTTTTACACAGATGGATTTAAGATAATTTCTTTTCAGAACAAATAGCTATAAATTCATGAGATTCATCGTGGCTGGCACATCTAGTGTCTTTACATGATCCTCACATCCATTATTTATCAGGTCCCTTTCAAAGGCCCTTCCAAGCCTATCTCCATCCCTGTCTGCCTCTCTCAAACACCCCAATCCATCCGTAGGCCCCTCCTTTTAGGCCTGGGGCCTCATCATTCTCCGTCCCAAGAAGGTTGGAAATTTGTAACAAAAACCTACTCTCCTGCTTTCCTGTCCATCTAAAATTTTGCTGGGCCATCACCGGGCCTTCCTCCTTCCCTCCTTTTAGGAGAAAAACACGTCTACCTCCTCCCCAAAGCTCACCCTTCTACTTGGGCTCTTGATTTAACTACCCTGCCTCCTGTGGATCCCATTCCCCTGCTCACATGTTCAAGCCCTCGGCCCCTCTGACAACTCTGTTCTGCTTCTTCTCCTTCCTTTTCTCTCCCTCGGTGATCACATCTACCTTTATCCCTGCAACTTCCAGAATCCATACCTCTGGTCAGAGCTCAAAACTGCATTTCAAACTGCTTATAAAACATGATCATATAGAAATCTGTAGGTACCTCGTATCCACACCTGACCCAAAATTCAATATCTCTCTCCACCTTTAACAGCACTTCCTGACCCTCCTGGTTACACTTGCACGTTAAAGACTGAATGATCTCCCAGCCCCACAGACTCATACTTCTAGTGATATCAGCCTCACTAGTCATGCTCGTTAGCTTATTCTTCCACTCTTTCCAGTCCCTCCTTTCCATTCTGCCTGGTTCAGTCATGTGCCATTTCTTACCCAGATTACTGCAATAACCTTCCAGGTGACCTCTGTGCTGCTTTTCCCTGCTCCCTCCACTTTATTTCAGGCAGTTATTTTTCTAAAGGCTAACCTATTGACATCCCTTTCCTTCTTAAAAATATCCTACTGCCCTCTCTCAAGAAAGCACTGGAATGTCAGGAACACAGAATGATGGAGAAAATGTACTATCCAAGCTAGAACATGCAGGGGTGGACACCAAAGGAAGAGAGGAGAACTTAAAACAGACTACAAAGAAGAGTCTCCTCGAAAGAGGAAATGGTAGGAGTAGGGGGGTTTCCCTGCTAATATGCAGACTTAGCAACATAATTAGCCTAATGATACTAGATTTCTCCCAAATGGTTTCAAGTTCAGAGATCAGGGACTCTGGACAAAAGACTGGCAACCTGGCAAGACTGAAACCAAGATGATTCCTCTCACATCTTCCCCCTCCCCTCCTCCACAAACACAGAGAGCCCAGCTGCGTTCTGTGGTGGCAACAGCAATGAAGTATTTGTTCTGGGGACTGAGGAACACTACCTGCCAGTGAAAACTGCCCCAGAGCAAAATGTGGTAGCTTTCTGTTATGGCTGTATTCATTCTACATGTCCTATTGACTATTTGAATTCATTTTTGTGAAAAAGTAGAACATGTAAGAGTTAGAATAATAAGCTGAGAGAACAATTCTTCTGAAAAGCAGGTCAGGCTTGAACTGACAGTGGAAGTCCACCGCCAGTCAATCATCTCCACCCAAACCGCGCCCAAAGAGTGGGGAAAAACAGTTGAATAAGAAATAGCAGAGAAAGGGCAAAGGGAATTTTCCACTTAGATTTCTTTAAATTTCAATAGGAATTCCTCTGGATTTTAATTTCTCAATAGGAATTCAACAGGATGAGTTCCTATCTGGGGCCCTCCTACACTGCTGACATATTAGTTGAAGCATTTTGATGCTGTTGCGTCAATTTGTGGCATAACTTTTTTATTATGGAACAATATATCGCAACTTAAAATAGGAAATAGTACTGAACATTTATGAAGCTCCTATCAGGCACCATTCCAAGGATTTTTCCATGTATGAACCTATTTAAATATCCCAATTAAGAGCAGTGCTATTTATAGTTCCATTTCATAGAGGAGGGAGCTAAGACACAGAAAGGTTTAAGGAACTTGGCTAGAGTCACATAACAAAATCTCTTAACTACCAATTTTTGGCTGTGAGTACACTGTAGTTTTGAAGCAAACCTAATCCATCTAATACGATTCTAACCCACTTCAGAGCCTTCTGTGGGCAAACACTAAACTGCCCACCCACGATGCCAGTTGGAGCAACAAGTGCTCCCAGAGAAGTGGCCTCACCAAAGTGGAAGCAGGAAATCATGTCGAACGCAGTCCTGGCAATGAAAGTCCCAGAGGAAGAATACCCGTCACCTGACCAGACCAGACTTAATGTTAACTCCAACATATTAACAGAATCAAAAATCAGGAAGTCGAATTTGATCTTTACTTTATTGCAATTACAAGCAACTATAGACCAGAGACACACTACAGTGGGCGGACGGGGGGAGCAGAAGAGTGATTAGGGTCAGAAAAAGGGGGTGGGAATTGTATGGGGAATAGAACCGAAATGAAAATGCATACATTATGCAAAAATGAAAAATGATGTAAGAAGTATATAAATTAAAATAATTCCTAAAAAAAAAATCAGGACGTCTAGGGAGAACATGCTCTTCCTCTCTCCCTTTTTTCTCTACTCACAGACTTACTGAAGAGAAAACTGTCCTCTCTGGCATCATATCTATCTTCCTCACAGAAGTGTCTTCTCTCAGTGGCAATATAAGGAAAAGGTCACTGTGTGCACCCTGCCCAGGGTCTTCAGCAATAAAGCACAGTGAAGAGAGCAGCCTCTGAAGCCAAACTGCAGGTTTGAATCCTAATCCCACCATACGCAAGCTGCCTAACTTGGGGAACATTTCTTCACCTCTCTGCCCCCTCATCTCCTCATCTGTAAAACTGGGCCCAATAAAAAAACCTACCCTCAGAGTAGAGGTGGCACTTAGAAGAGCCTGAGAAAAGAAAACGTTGAGTAAGCGTTAGCTACTATCACTGTTTAGATTCTCACAAAAGACCCGCCTCACGCGTTCTTTGTACTTAAGCCTCTTGGGCGCCGTCACGCTCTGCTCCCACAGGGGAGAGTCTGAAATAGGCCAGCAACTCTGCAAAAGAACTAAGAAGCTCAGTGAGACTTGGACCCGGGTCACGTGTTTGGATCAGCAACACAACCGGCATTCAGGTCCTTTTTGGGCTCTTGAGTTCCTCCAAAATTGAAAATCAAAAGATGCATGATACTGATAACCCAAGGCACACAGTACCAGATATCAAGGTGACAGAGACAGCAAGGAGGAATGAGACACTGAGAAGGAAACAGCAATAGTTCAGAGGCAGAAGTATCTAAATCCTGACATGGCACCTGCTCCTGTCAATGAGAAGAGGGGACATCTGTATAATACAGAGGCTGCTGCCCTTACATATGATGCTGATGAGCTTACTAAGAATAAACATACAGGAGCACAAGCAGGATAAAGAAGCACTTTAAAGTTTTCTATGCAACCATTTTACTATAGAAACACAATTTTTCAGGATTTGAAAAGTTGTGATGGGTGACTGACTTGAGGTAGCACTTGGGATATGTCTGTCCCAAGTTCAGATGTGGGGACAGGGCTTTCTGAGGCAAGCACTTACTACAGAATTCTGCATACTCAGCGGGCAGCAGGAAGGTCTGAGGGAGGATGTGAAAAGCCTTGAATCCGTGTGTGTGCTGCATTCGAATGATGTTTTTGTATAGTCGGTCCTTCCGGGTTAGCTCGTATGACCTAAAAATCATAAAGGTATTTTCATTTCAGTAAACTATGGTTCAGAAGTTCTCCCAACTGATCACATTTGAAAGAGTACAGTTCTCAGTTCTAGAGAAGTTACTGAGAACAATATTATATCCCAAATCTATCAATCTGCCAATTCAAAAGGTTTGCTATCATCTTCGGAGAGTGGGTATCTTTGGCCAGATTTATCCAATGAAGTATGCTTTATGTACAGTAAGATTTGCACTTTTTAAGTGTCTATCTCTGAGTCTGAACAAATACAATGATATAACTACCACTACACTCAAGAAATGGGCCAAAGGATAGCTCTAACATTTCCACATCATCTCAAGTCCCTGTGCAGTCATCCTTGCCAATCAGCTCCAAACCCTCGCAAACATGCATCTGTTTTCTATCTCTCTAATTTTGCCTTTCCAGAAATTCAAATACGTGGAATCATACAGTATGTGTCCTTTTGAAACTTGTTTCTTTCACTGAGCATAACACAACTGAGATTTACCCTTGTTATATATATATCAATATTTTATTCCTTTTCATGGCTTAGTAATTGTCCATTTTGGGGGTGTACCACAATGGATATGTTTATCCATTCACCAGTTAAGGACATACAAGTTGTTTCCAGTTTTGTAAGATTCTAAATAAAGTTGCTATAAGCATTTGCATATAAGATTTTGTAAGTTTTGGTATGAACATAAATTTTCATCTCTCCAGGAGTAGAATTGTTGGGTTTCATAAGATTGTTTAGTAAGATAAAGAGTTATCCACTTGTTCATAATGAAGTACCCTCAAATGAAGCAGCTTAAAATAAACATTTTCTAATTACACAATTTTTGTGGGTTAGGATGTGGGATTGGTAAAGTTGGGTAGTTCTGTCTTGGGCTCTCTCATGAGGTTACAGTCCAGATGCTGGCCAGGGCCGCAGACCTCAGGCTGAACTGGAGCTGGAGGACCCGACCTCCAGACGGCCCTCTCAGATGAGGCTGGTGTGTGGCAGGAAGACTCAGTTCCTTCCCATATGACTTTTTCCACAAGGCTGACAGAGTGCCTTCATGACATAACAGCTGTTTTCTCCCAGATCCAGCAACCCAAGAGGGAAGGAAAGAACAAGAAAGAAGTTGCAGAGTCTTTTATCGATGCCTTTTATGACCTAGACTCAGAAGCAACAAACTCATTTCTGCCACATTCTTTTTGTTCAACGCAACTCACTAAGTCCAGTCCACACTCAAGAACAGAGAAATTAAGTCCAACCTTTTGAAGATAATGTCAAGATATAACTGGACATAATTTAGAGACATTACATAAACATGTTTATAAGAAACTGCTGAGCTGTTACCTCCCGCGGCCACACCACTCCAAATTCCCACCAGCAGTCATGGCGTTCCAGCTGCACTGCGTCCTGGCCAGCACAAAGGGTTATCCAGTTTGTTTGTGTGTTTCTTAGCCATTCTGATAGGTACAGAATAGTTTCTCATAGTTTTCATTTGCCTCCCACAATCCCACAACTGACGCTGAGCACCTCTTCATGTCTATGTATCCTCTTTGGTGAAGCATCTGTTCAAACACTTTGCCCATTTTGAGAAACTGGTTTTTTTTCTTGTTATGGCATTTTAAGAGCTTATTATATGTTTTGAATATAAATTTTTTTTTAAAGATTTTTTTTTTATTTATGCATACAAGAACTGGGGTGTAGGCCAAAGTGCAGGGGATGAGAGGATCCATCAGAGTCAGACTGGGGAGCAGAACAGGTGGGATCTACTGAAATACACTGCTGAGGGGAGCAGCGGGAGAGACAGGAGAGGCCTGCTGCACCATGTGGGTTAGCTCCCTGGCCAGGATTGATCTCAAGCTGTAGAGGTGACAGCACTGAGACTTAACCCCTACACCACCAGGGAGGCCCCTGGATACAAATTCTTTATCAGATATATATAGTGCAAATATTTTTCTCTCAGTTGGTGGCTTATCTTTTCATTTCCTTAGCCTTAGGAGACATTTTAAATGTTGATGAAGTCCAATGTATCAATTTTTTCTTATGGATTGTACTTGTGTTGTTATAGTTGAGAAATCTTTACCTAATCTGAGGTCATAAAGAGTTTCTCCCTATGTTTTCTTCTAGAAGTTTTAGTGTTGGGTTTTTAAAGACTGTTTAAATGTCTATTTAAAATAGATGCATCTGATTCACTTCAAGCACCTAGTCACACATTTAGAAAACCAAATCCACTTCTAGGCATTCATGAAAAAATAAAGTATGAATTATTTTCTGCCCATGAGCTCAGACATAAATTTGTGCTGAAGACTCAAATATACATTTGTCCAAATTATGAAGAAACTCTCTGACAAAAGAGACAGAACAGGCCAGGTATTTATACATAATGACTGGTAAAAGACACAAGAACTGAAAAATCAAAAAAGAACCCTCATTTCATGAAAATAAAGAGAAAAGTATATGAGGTCACTGAAAACAAAACTTGCTCCCATGAGTGAGTACCTGGAACATAAGTCTTGGAAATAAAACTAGGTGTAACCACTGACCAACTAAAGGGACTTTTATCGGACTTGTGTCTCATAAGATAGATGGGATTAGCCTCCCTCTTCTCCATTGGGCCATGTATCTCTCTGAGGGTGAATACTATTTAGAATAAATAATATTTATTCTGCTAGAATAAAGCAGAGTTTCAATATTAATTGTTTTCCTATTTTCTTTGTCATAGATGTAATCATTAAGAAACCCTATTCACAAAAATAATAGCTAACACTTATATAGTGCTTATCACATGGTAAGGAGATGATACTGTTCTAAGCACTTGAGGTCTTGATATACAAAATCCTCACAAAGCCAATGAAGTAGGTGTTGTTGGTATCTTCTTTTATCAGTGAGGAAACTGATGCACAGAAATTGATGCTCACTTGCCCAAGGTGACTTGGCAGAGCTGGGACGTGGACTCAGATAGTTGTATGGCTAGAGTCTGATTCTAGTCACTGGGTAATATAGCCTCTCTAGGCTGCCATTAAAACATGTGACTGGAAGAACTTTTCTAGAACAACACTCAATTCTTTAAACTTCTTCCTAATAATATGTCAAAACTAACAAGACCATCTATCATTAAAATCATATTTACTGATATCAGCTGACAACTTCATTATGTGGTCCTCTTTCAATTCTGTTAAAAGTAAGGAAATTGAAATCACTCTCATGCAAAAAGGATTTGTTCTGCTATGACCAGAAGTCAATGAAGCACCAATTTCTTTTTGGTAGCTTATTTAGACCCCTGAAGGTTTTATACCCAAGGACTATGCACCATTTTAAGAGTTTGGTGGACCATTTTTTATATAGGTGAAAAATAAAAATTGAAAAAGGGGGCAGAAAGGGAGAACTCAACTACATAAGGGGCTCACAAGCTGCTAATTTTAGCAAAGAGAAGCTGCGGGACTTACAGTCCAGAACCACTCTCCTTTAAAACCTCCCATGGCTCACAGTCCTTGGAAAGGCATCCTCTACGCTCAGAGATATGACTTCTTGCTTGATTAGCAGACTGCTGCCCTATATCATACTTTTTTTTCTTTTTAAGGACATTTAATTATATCTGCTGGCTACATTCCCCAATGTCAGGTACCTTTAAATGGAATACAGCAGCTACAAGACCATTATTACCTGGGAAAGTGATTAACCTTTTGTGCTTCAGAAAGGGTGCGAAGTAAGAAGGGCTTCAGGTGGGATCCTGTCCACATTAGGTTATAGTCAGTGCTGCTTGGGTGAACCTGAGAGCAGATAAAAAGGCAAGATAAAAAACATCAGACATAGCCCCTCTCCAAGAACAGCAATGACAGAAAAGGCCATAGAGATGTTTCATAGACAGAGTATTCACAAGAGAAAGACAAAAGTTGAGTATAGAGAACAGGAGAACAATCCATTTTAAAGAATGGAAGAGTAGGACAAATCCCTAATACAAAAAGCAGAATAAATTAGCCCTCCTGTAGATATGTCTCTTGCATATCAAAATATGAGATGAGAAGCCAACCCCAAAACTCTGTTATCAGACTATCCTTATGTTCTTTCAGGTGTTGGGTATAAAATAATGACGAACTGAAAACTAGTAGCAAACCAAGTAAGGATTCATTCGTAAGGATTCATTTGTCCATTCATGAAACAATTACATGTTCTGTGCCTATAATGTGATAGTAACATGTTAAGTCCTAGAGATAAAACAGCAACAAGACAGGATCTAAACTATCATGAACATTTCTTCAAATGTCTACTTTAGACCTCAATTTAGGGAAAGGAACTAGCAATCAGATTTTTATCAATTATCTCCAAATATCTAATTGGAACCAGTCTATCCAGCATTTTGACCTGTCCCTTTTAATGTCAGCATTTCAGTTTTCTTGATTTTCTTTGGGAACAACATAATCCTTGACTTTAAAGGATGGCTAATTACCCATCCCTTCCCTCCCCCAAGGAGTGAATTCATGACCTAAGCTGGGTTAGTCATTCTATCTCCAGAGTGTGATTCTTGAACTTAGAAAGGCACAGGAACAATAAGTGGAATTGAATTGCTTGCATGGCTGTACCTTGGGGATATGTTCCTGAAAATTCCTACTGCCAGGGCACCTAGCTGTCCTGGCCTGCTCTTAAAAGGCCCATCTCTTCAGCTTTTCCTCTAATTCTGCTGGCCATCTTGAGCACACCTTTCCTACATATGCCTTTGGCTTAAGTTAGTCTGTTTCTGGTGCTTGCAATCAAAGAACCTAAATTGGTTATCAGACAACTGCTTAGGGGCAACACTGTCTCTAGCCCAAGCCTAAAACCATAGCAAGAAACACTTCTTTTGCAACCCCTCCCACCCAAAGAAAATTTTTTGGAAATATTTTCCATATATTTCAAGGTGAAAGCAGTAAAGCCACTCAAAAATTCAATCCAGGTTCTGCATCATCACAAAGCACTGGTTCCATATACTATTGAGAGCTGGCCCTGTTCAGTTAGGCGAGGATTTCCAGCTTTAGAGCAGGTCAGGTGAGGTAGCAAAAAGGAACTTACTTCATGAAATCCATGCGCTGTCAGAATGCTGCGTACCAGTCGACTATCTGTTCTCACAATCTTGTAAGACAAATGATAACGTTCTAAATATAAACAGAGAACCAAGTTCAGTAACCAGGAAGTTAACTGCAGAGACAAAAGCTGTATGACGGAGGCTTGTTGAATTATACCCCATAGCATCATACTGCTATCCTTATGCTACTGTAAGTAGGCTGAAAATTACTTTGGAACAAGGGTTCTTCCCCTGAGACTTTTTTTTTGGGGGGGGGGGGGGAATCACCAAAAAATGGAGGAAAATTACTTCTTTGTTCCCACTAGTTTCTATCAGAGACCTTCAATCAAAAGTCTAGGCAACACAGAAAAGTATTATTAGGAGTACCTGTGACCCTGTCACCAATAACTATCAGGTATTTTAATATTATTTTATAGCTGTAAGTTACCTCAAAATATCACTTATTTGCCTACATTTAAAAATTATGAGCTAACAGAATTGCTACTTCCTATAATGCATTAATAAAAAAGCATATCGGGCCTCCCCTGGTGGCGCAGCGGTTGAGCGCTGGGTTGCGAAGCTGCCCACAGCCTCTGCAGCACCGGTTCGATCCCCGGCCACCAGGCAAGGGTCCCACATGGCGCGCAGACCTCTCCTGCCACCTGCTGCTCCCCTCAGCAGTGTATTTCGTCAGTCTGCCTGTTCTGTTTCCCACACTGGCGCTGATGAATTCTCTCACCCTCCCACACTTCTGACTGTACCCTGCACTTGTATAAAATAAATAAATAAATCTTTGGGGGGGAAAAAAAAAAAGGACTTCTTTAAAAAAAATAAAGCATATCACAAATTTGTTTTAAAAAATATTTTGATAAATACATTTCAATACAACTGACTTTCTTAGTAATCATATGTATTTTTCAAGAAACTTAAAAGACATTACTGTGGGGACCTCCCTGGTGGTGCAAGGGGTTAAGACGCAACCTATGAAGCTGACCACGGCCTCTGCAGCATGAGTTTGATCCCCGGCCAAGGAGCAACCTACATGGCGCAGCAGACCTCTGCTGTCTCGCCTGCTGCTCCCCTCAGCAGTGTATTTCACTCAATCTGCCTGTTCTGTTCCCCACTCTCTCTCTGGTGAATCCTCTCACCCCCCACACCTCTGGCATGTACCCCAGTTCTTGTATGCATAAATAAATAAATCTTTTATAAAAAATAAGCAGAACATGTGCTTAATCTTCAGGATGCTGATGGAGACAAATGGGCTTCGGGGTAAATGTGGCCGTTAAAAAAACCTTCTTTTTCTGGATCTGCACATTTAGCTGTTTGGGGACACAGCTATTTCCTTCTTGAGTTTCAAGTATAAGAACAGCTACAGTCACATCACAATATTCAGTGGTGAAATCTTGTTTGTTACTGCCATTCCCATTCCTTTTTGTTTAATATCAGAATAAAGTTGCATTTCAAAAGAATACAGGAAGCCTTCTGTGTCCAACAATGCTCGGCCGCAGTGTATCTTAGACCAAAGGTTATAAACAGGTGGCCAGGTCAAGACCAGCCCACAGAACCACATTATCCAATTCAACACAGTCCCCACCGTCCTACTCGACACATTCATATTTCTTGCCAGGCCCCTGAAAGCATTTTGTATTCGTGACCCCTGTCTCAGAGGACAAGCTATAATCATGGGTGATTTCTATATGTCCCAAAAGACTAACATTTACTCTAGAAGACTAAATTCAATTCCTTTTTATGCAGCACTACCAACTGTTTGAAAAAGTTAGCTAGGAATTCTACAGAGAAGTTTTTTTAAAAGGACTGCAGTGAACTTCTGAATAGGATAATACAGCATCTTATAGACAGCCCCCAGAACAACATTTAGCCTCAATAGCCAAAGACAAGTGTATCTTTTTATGCATTTATGAGAAAATACTCATAAATCCCTGCTGCTACTTGCCCAGCCCTGGCAGGACCCCATGCAATGCAGACACAGGAGGTTCGAATGGAAAGGCTGATGCTCCATGCTTCTCATTCTTGTGACAAACTTTGAACGCACAGCTACAGGGTTTTCCCAATGACCAATCATTATTATGTTGCTTTCGCAAAATACAAAAATAATAAAGAGTCACACGTTCACTTTGGTGCAGAGTATAATGTAAAAGGCGGTACAGTACCCTGCTCAGGAGTCTGTGTTCTGGATCCAAGTTGGGGAGGGAGAGGGAAAGCACAAAACAGACTGGAATATCTTGCCATGCCAAAAAAAGAGAAAAAGTATTCAAAAACTGGTTGGGAGGATGTACAAGGATCTCAAGATCTTAAAGGGACACCCAATGGCCAAATCCCAAGGGCCAGATAACTGGAACACGAAAATGAAGAATAACAAGGATAGATGATAACTCACTTATTTAAAAGTTTTTTTTATTGTTTGTTATTGCTGCTATAACAAATGACCACACACTTGTGGCTGAAACAATACAAATTTCTTGTCTTACAGTTCTGATGATCAAAAGCCTGCTACAGGTCTCATCAGGCATCATCAGGGCCACTGCCCTTTTTAAAGGCTCTGGGACGGGTCCCTTTCTCAGTTTCTGGAGGCCACCCCACTCACTGGCTTATAGTCCCCATCCCCACTATCTTCACAGCCAGCAATGTGGGCCTCATCCCTCTCAGGCTGCATCCATCTGGCTCCTCGTCTGCCTCCTTCCACTCTAAAGGAGCCCTGTGATTATGCTGGGCCTGCTTGGATAATCTCCTTATAGCAACCTTAATCCACCTACAACCTTGATTACCCTTTGCCATTGACATTTTCACAGTTCTGAGATTTAGAAGATAGACATCTTTGGGGAACCATTATTCTGCCTACCACAGAAAGAAAAACTCTTCTTTACAGAAAAATCAGCTAATAAGGGTAAAAAGGAAAACAGAAAATCACCATTGTACAAAAACCATAAACGTTAATGATTCATATGAGACTCAATGGATACCAGTAGGTGAGAGACTACTGGGGGACAGGACATTCACAATCTCAAGATACTTCTGCAGAGAATGCATCTAAGAAGGGAGAAAGGTACCATGAACCAATCTGGTAGACACTATCTAAACCAAATAATTGAATGTGCCACTGATAACGCAATATAAAGACATTGCACGCTTCCTAGTATGACACATTAAGGATACAATTTGACTCAGTGCTATTCCTTTCATTTTTCAGTCTGAATCTAAATATGTGAACACAGTGAGATAAGCTCAAACTTAAGGACATCTGCAAAGCAGCTAGCCTGGAATCTTTAAAAATGTCAATATCATGAAATACCAAAAAAAAAAAAAAAAGGCCTGGCTAATGGTTGTAGATTTAGGAGACCAAAGAAATAGGACAGCTAAATGCAATTTGATTGGATCCTGGATTTAAAACAACAGGTCTAACGGATAAAATTGTAACTACTGGGGAAATCTGGGCAGGGTCTGTATATTAGATAAGAGTATTTCACCAATAACAAACCTCCTGAGTGCAATCACTGTGCTATGGTTATCAGAGGATGCCTTTGTTCTTAGGAGAGGGCTGTTGAACAAATATTTAGCTGTGAATTATCTGAACTAATTCTCAAATGGTTCAAAAGAGAAGCAAATATGGCAAAATGCTAATGGTAAATCTAAGAAAAGAATATCCATGTGTTCATTACAATGTTCTTAACACTTGTCTTAAGGTTTTTAATTTTTCTAAATAAAATGTTTTAAAAAATGAAAGACAATCATGTCTTTTTATTATGATAACTAGTCAGTGACATTTCCAATTTTGCACATGCAAAAATCAAAGCATCGTCACCACTGGAGACCAGAACTGGGCCTAATTCTGCAGCTGTCCTGCAGCACCAGTCCTGCAGCGCCTGTCCTGTAGTGCCTGCCGTGCAGTGCCAGGCCATAGAGACAGTGATCAGGTGTGTGAAAAATAGAGATTGAGTGCATGGGGAGTAAAAGAAGGGGAATAATAAGAGATGAGTATGTCTCTCGAGTGGAGCTGCCAGGTTCAAATCCTGGCTCTACTAATGCCCCAGATAGGCTTCTCAAGGGGATTCAACCACAGAGTTGGGCTCTGAGCAGATCTATGTCAGTTATTTAAATGAGAACGAGACCAAGGGTGCCCAACAATTCAGAAATTTGAGGCAGCAATTCACAAGTTATTTGAATTGTTCTTTTCACAAGGAAAGGTGAATCAAATTATTAAACCTCAAGGAATTGGGAAGATACAATTCAAAAACAGTTTGAAAAAGTTTAGTGGCCTTTTCTTTAGCCACAGGAATATAAGGGAAGAAGACTTAAAGTTTCTAAAAAATAATGATTTCTTGAATAAAATGGGATGACATTGCTAGATACTAAGTTCGGATACAGGTTAGCTATTCTAAAAAAGAAAGGTCTGCCTATTGCCATAGAATATATAAATACATTTATATAACAAACAGACCAAAATAAACATGTTTCAGGGAGGATTATTTGCTTTTGATGCTTTCACCCTCCTTTGACTTTTTTTTTAAAAAGACTTACTTATCTTATGCATACCAGAACTGGGATACAGGCCAGAGGTGTGTGTGGGGCAGAGAAGAGGATTCACCAGAGACAGAGTAGGGAACAGAACAGGCAGATCGACGGAAATACACTGCTGAGGGGAATAGCAGGCACGACAGGAGAGGTCTGCTGTGCCATGTGGGTTGCTCCCTGGCCGGGGATCGAACTCGTGCTGCAGTGGCTGCAGGTATCTTCATAGTGCTACGTCTTAACCCCCTGCGCCACCAGAAGGCCCCACCACCTTTGACATTTTGACTCAAATCATATTTAGAGTGTCTCAGCAAATGTTAGCAGGCCTTCCATTATATAGGTTTCAGAGAACATGAATGAACCATATTCCTTTAAGAGGTAACTGACCAACTTGCTGAGGGGATTAGAACATAAGGACTCTTAGGGAGGGAGGAGGACTCAAATCCCAGAAGCAGGTACTCATTGGGCTCTAAAAGCCTGTCTTATGGAGCAGTGATAGCCTTTAAATTCATTTCAAAGTAGAAGAGATCCATTTCAACAAGGAGAATAAACAGCATAAGCTCTGTATGCCTGTTATATACCAAACATTAAACAGTCTCATTTAATTCTCACAGTGCCTGCAAAATAGCTACATTTACTGATAATGAAATTAGTTAAGAGAGTTTGAATGACTTTCCCAAAACTCACAGCCAGAAATGCCAAGATTGGAATTTGAACCAATGACTAAGAACCCAGGCACAGGCTCCTTCCACTACACTACATGACAGGTCTGATCCACAGCATCGTTAACTTTGAAGATACTAACCCCAGGATTCAGAGCACTGCAAAAAATCAAAGGAGTGTAGCTATATGAAATTGAGACTAAAACAACAGTAGAGAAAATAAAATTAAAAGGTGACTCTATAAAATGATCATTAAAATATCATCAAAATTGATAAACCTATAGCTGGACTAACTTAAAAAAAATTTCAAATTATTTAAATCAAAAGCAAAGTGGAGGGCCTCCCTGGTGGTGTAGGCGGTTGAGCACAGCGCTGTGGAGCTGTCCACAGCTTCTGCAGTGCCTGTTAGATCCCCACCGGCCTCAGAGCAACCCACGAGCAGACCTCTCCTGTCTTGCCTGCAGCTCCCCTCAGCAGTGTATTTTGGTCCTTCTGCCTGTTCTGTTCCTGCTCTGTCTCTGGAAAATCCTCTCACCCTCCCATGCATCTGGCCTGTACCCCGGTTCTTGTATAAATAAAATCAATCTTTAAAAAAAAAAAAAAAAAGCAAAGTAGAGCATTGCTACTGACCTCACAGAAATGAGGACTATGAAAGAATACTATGAAAACTGTATGCCAACAAATTAGATAAACTAAATAAAAATGGACAAAACCCAGAAACACACAAACTGCCAAAACTGACCCAATACAAAACAGAACATATGAATAGACCTATAAGTAGAGGTTGAAGCAGAAATAAAAACCTCCCAACAAAGAATGCTTAGGACTAGGGAACTCTACCAAAACACTTGATAGAATTAGTATCAATCCTTCCCAGACTCTTCTGAAGAGGAAAGAACTCATTAATGAGGCCAGCATTGCCTGATATTAAAGTCACAAAGGCATCACAAAAAAGACTACCTACCATTATCCTACATGAATATACATGCCAAAATTCTCCACAAAATGGGGCCTCCCTGGTGGCACAGGGGTTAAGGTCTCAGCACTATCAAGCTATTGCCAGCCACTGTGGCATGAGTTCAATCCCTGGCTAGGGAGCTAACCCACATTATGTAGCAGACCTTTCCTGTCTCATCTACTGCTCCCCTTAGCAGTGTATTTCAGTAAAATCTGTCTGTTCTGCTCCCCGCTCTGTCTCTGGTGAATCCTCTCACCCCCACCTCTGGCCTACACCCAAGTTCTTGCATGCATGCGTAAATAAAAATAAACTTTTAAAAAAAATTTTTTTTCCACAAAATACTAGCAAACCAAACCTAAGAACATATTAAAAGGATTAAACACCATGACCAAGTAGGATTTATCTCAGGTATGCAAGGGTGGTTCAACACACTAATGCTAACTTAAAGTAATATACCACATCAATAGAATGAAGGAAGGGGAAAACAGAATTACCTCATTTGATGCTGAAAAAGCATTTGACAAAACCACCAACCTTGCACGACTAAAAACACTCAACAAAGGAACAGAAGGAAACTTTCTCAATGTGATAAAATTTGTGAAAAAAGTAGTTAACATCATATGAAACAGTGAAAAACTGAAAACTTGCACTTATGATGAATGACAAGATAAAAATGCCCACTTTCATCACATCTACTCAACACTGTCCTGGAGGTTCTAGTGAGAACAGTTAGGCAAATAAAAGGATCCAAGATGGAAAGGAAGAAGTAAAATTATCTCTATCTACAGAAAACATGATCTTACATATAAACAAAGCTACAGAACCTACACATATACAAAAACTTATTAAAAAATGAGCAAGGTTTCAAAATACAAAAGCAATATACAAAAATCAATTGTAGTGCTATATACTGTCAATGACCAACTCAAAAATGAAACTGAGAAAACAATTCTACTTATAAGAATAAAATATTCTCATTAAAAGAATAAAATAGTAAGGAATTTAACCAAGGAGACACAAGAGTTGAATGGTGAAATCGCTAAAACATCACTAAAAAATAAATTGAAGACCTAAATAAATCAAAAGACATCCCATCTTTAATATTAAGACAGCAACACTCCCCAAAGTGCTGTAAGAGAATCAATGCACACTAAGCCCAAAAGTCATATGGAACTACAAGGAAGCCTAAGTAGCAAAATAAATTTGAAAAAGAAGAAGAATGACTCATACTTGCCAATTTCAAAATTTAGTACAAAGATACAGTAGTCAAAACACAAATCACTGGAATAATAAGAGTCCAGATATCAATGCATACATCTTGATCAACTGATTTTCAATAATAGTGTGAAAACTATTCAATAGGGAAAGAATAGTCTCTTCAACTAATCATACAACGGGATATCCACATGCAAAAGAATAAAGGTGGATTTTTATCTAACATTATAGAAAAAAATTAACTCAAAATGGATCAAAGACCATTTAGCTCTAAGCATAGGAGCTTAGTATAAAAGTCTTAGAAGAGAGCACAGGGATCATGACCATGAATTAGGCAACGGTTTCTTAGATATGACACCAAAAGCATAAGCAACAAAATGAAAAATAGATTAACTGGAGATCATCAAAATAAAAACCTTTTGCTCATGAAAGAACACTACAAAGTAAATGAAAAGACAAACCACAGACTATGAAAATATATTTGGAAATCACATACCTGATAAGGACCTAATACCCAGCATGTATCAAGAACTCATAACTCAACAAAAAGACAAGCAATCCAATTAAAATATAGACAATAGACAAAGAGACAAAAAATGTCGACATTTCTCCCAAGATATACAAGTCGCCAACAAGCACACGAAAAGATGCACAGTGCTAATCAAAACTGCAGTAAGATACCACTTCATATCCGCAAGTACAGCTATGATCTAAAAAAAAGGAAATAACAAAAATGAGGGAGGATGTGGAGAAAATGGAACTCTCATACATTGTTGGTGGGAATATAAAATCTGTGAAGTTACTTTGAAATCCTTTGGCAGAATTACCTCACAACCAGCAACTCCTTGCTAGGTACAGACTCAAAAGAATTGAAAACAGGTGCTGGGACAAAGACCTCTACATGAACGTTTATAGTAGCACTACTTAAAAGCCAAAAGGTGTAAAATCTTTCACCAACTGATGAATAGAATGTGGTGTATCTATACAATGAATATTATTCACTCCCCAAAAAATGAAGTAATGATAACATGCTACAACACAGGTGAACCTTTAAGACATCAGGCTGTCAAAGAAGCCAGACACAAAAGGTCACATGTTGTATGTGTCCATTTATATGAAATAGCCAGAAAAGGCAAATCCACAGAGACAGAAAGAAGATTAGCGGTTGCTAGTAGTTGGAGGCAAGAGGGGATGGGGGAGCAGCTGCTTAAATGACATAGGACTTAATTTTACTTTGGGGATGAAAAACATGTTCTGGAACTTAACAATGGTGATTGTGAATGATCTAAATATACTGTAAATATACTGACTGTCACTGAACTATATATTCCAAAATGGTCAAAGCAGTAAATTTGTTATGTATATTTTATCAAAATTTGAAAAATCACAATGGGCCTCCCCAGGTGGCGCAGCGGTTGAGCGCTGGGCTGTGAAGCTGCCCGCAGCCTCTGCAGTGCCGGTTCGATCCCCGGCTGCCGGCAAGGGTCCCACATGGCACGCAGACCTCTCCTGCCGCGCCCACTGCTACCCTCAGCAGTGTATTTCGTCAGTCTGCCTGTTCTGTTCCCCGCTCTGGCTCTGGTGAATTCTCTATCCCTCCCACACTTCTGACTGTACCTGGTGCTCGTATAAATAAATAAATAAATCTTTTAAAAAAAAAATAAAAAATAAAAAATAAATTAAAAAATAACAATAAACACATCTATACATAATACCGGGAAAAAAATTCAAAGAGGAAAGAACAATTTAGTATGCAGAAAGCAATTTAAGAAATCAGAAATAATCCTTCCAAGTAAAACAAATGCAAAGGTTCTTCTCAAGACCAAGACTACTTGTAGGTGATACCACTTTCTGCAAGACCAGGTCACCAGGGCCCTGCCTAGCCCTGTCCTCTAAGGGGGAAAGACAAACCCACCTCCAATGACTCGAATATTGTTGTCCTTTGTCAGAATAGCCTCGGCGTGGAACACTAAAACTGGAATTCTCCGGCAGCCTCCAGTCCACATGATACATGGATGATCGCTGTAACCAAGAGAAAAGGCTTGACTGATTCACAGCTCAAAATCTGAATTAAGAACCAAAGCAGATCTCCATAGTTTGCTAATTAGCAACTTTCCCTTCCTTCTGGCCAAGAACCCCAAGTGTTTTACCATTCATAGTCATGCAATTTGTTTAAGATTAATGCTATCCATTTTAGGAACAGGCTTTGATTCATTCCATCACCCTGTTAGTGAGTAGAGCTGAGCACATAAACCAACAGAGTCAGGAGTCAGTGTCAGCAGACAAGTGTAGCCCCTCTGAGAAAGCAATGTCTTCTTTCCCTTCTGGCGCAGCAACAGGAGAGATGGCCTTTCTTCCCCTTGAAGAGAATGAAAGGTCCAGAAGGGTAACTGTCATTGTGTGATCTTGAGGAGAGCTTGGAGCTGTTGGCAAAGGAGGAATCAGTGGGAGCCTGACAGATGGAATGAGGGAAGATCCTGTGTGGCAAATGTAGAGTTGCAGAATCAAGTCGTCCCTAAATATATGTTAATAAATTCCTTTTATTATTTAAGACAATGTATGCCGTAGTTCCCAAACACATATAATCCTAATATATTCACAATAATCTATTTGTCGGGCCTCCCTGGTGGTGCAAGGAGTTAAGCACCACACTATGAAGCAATCCGCAACCTCTACAGCACGAGTTCGATCCCCGACCAGCCAGGGAACAACCCACATGGCGCAGCAGACCTCTCCTTTCCTGCTCCCCAGAGCAGTGTACTTTGGTCCATCTGCCTGTTCTGTTCCCCACTCTGTCTCTGGTGGATCCTCTCATCCCCGCATCTCTGGCCTGTACCCCAGCTCTTGTATGCATAAATAAATAAATCTTTAAAAATAATAATAATCTATTTGCCCCTTGAACACCCTGTAGTGCCTTTTTAAGCAAATTTGATGACCCATCCATTAGGAACCCTAATTAACACAAGTACTCCAATTAAAACCACACATTATAAAGAAAGCCTATATTAAATCCAACAGCATGATCTCCTCCAGGAAAGGACCTCTGACTTTATTTTCTTTCCCTATCCTCAGGAAATCTCAGTTTAATTAATCTCAGACAGTTGTAAATGTGTATTTATTCAAAGATTAGGAAAACCTTCAAACTCTTTCGTACAGGGAGGTTGAAAGGAAAAGAAACGAACTGAGTCCCTAAATATGTGCTAGGAATTAAATGAAGAGCTTTCACAAGCTATTTCACTTAATCCTCTTACCTGCACTATGAACTAAAGAAATGAACCTCTCATCTCAGGTGAAGAAATCTGCCCACCGTCATACAGCTGGTGAAATAAGGGGAAAAGCGCCTCTGCTATTGTTTCTACCCTCCCATCTCCCTACCCCCATCTCAGTGATGTTCTATGCATGGGACACCTTACACTCCACTGTTAGGGAAACTTAATCAATTACTTAAATGAAACAAGATGCACTTAGCCAATATTCAGGCTGCTAGCAAACACTCACATGACCACACCCCTTAACAGAGGCCCTACCACAAATCTCAGGGCCAAGTCAGACCCTCTCAACCCAAGTTTAAAAAGAGCCACACTTTGAATGCACTGCCAGGCTACTGATCTGAGAAGTGAGGCAGCCTTTAGACTGAATGAGCTGCCAAAAGCCTTTTAGTAAAGAAAGCAAAGAACACCATACCTAGTTCATTTCCTATTTGCTAGAAATGGAATGTGGATGCTTACTGCCCTTGCCCTCTGACTTGAGTGCTAGTGCCCATGAGTGAGAAATTTTGTTTACAGAGTATATTCTTTGGCAAGAAGAGTTTCTGTGGTTTGCTTGCTTTTTAATCTTAAACACCTGTAAAGCACAGGCATGGGGCCAGATGATTCCTATGTTCTCTTCCAACTTTAATTTTTCCATTTCTAAGTCAGATGATTGAGGGAAAAATAGACAGCCTAAACGACAGTCTTGGACAGAAACTCTGGAAACTATCCAAACGTCCTTGTCAATCTAGCACTAGTTACCAACTGGCACCACTGTGTCTTAGCAGTTACAAACAATGGATTATTGCCACAAATTAAAAATGCCTGATGAAAAATAGGAACACAATTAACAAATAAACAGCTGAGTGGAACCAAGCCCTAACTACGTGTCTGTGGAGAGCCAAATCCTGACAGAGAAATCTTTTTACTTATAACTTAAGAAAAGATAAAAGGGAAGTAAACAAATTATTAATTCAATCAGGTCAACCAAAACACACTTGAGGCAGATGCTAATTTGTTATTAGGACCATGCTCCCACCAGGTGGCGCTACAAGGAAAAGATTCAAAATTACTATTAGAGAACCAAAAATCAGGACCTCAAATTTCCATTCACAGCAGAAACTGGTATAAATTAAGAAAACAAGTCATTATAGGCATGAAAGAACAAAGTATTTGAATGATTAATTGTTGAAGTAGACCACTCTTACGGTTCACCTTATTAGAAGCCAAAGAACATTTTGGTTTTTAAGAAGCAAACTCCCAGGAGTCGGCCTACATAACTCAAAGCTCCTATTCCTTATTCATACCAATGCCCCTGCTAGAAATGGCTTCTTGTCTACCTCTCTCTATTCACTTAATCCCACTCTCCAACTCACCTCACCTCACCACCTTTGTGGGGCCGTTTCCCTCTTCCAGCCCACGCTGATGCTTTCTTTCTGACTCCTAGACAGTTTCTAGCAAAGTACAGGACTGCAAGATATAACTACATTAATACTGCCTAAGGACCTGAGTGGATCTAACAGTTGCCCGTGGATAAACATCTTTGGATTAAATCACCATCCTTAAGATGATTTAAGATCTTCTACTCCCATATACTTATAAAAGTATGTAAGTCTACTGACATAGGGGTAAACAAATTTGACTTAAGGTTTCCATGTATAAAACAAGGGCCTGACAGGCAAGACATAAGCTGACGGAACAAAATTAACAGTTAAAAATCAACATTAGGAATTTGAAATTTGGGGGGATTACTGCTTTATTTTCACTGATGTCGAAATTTAGTTGTCTCAACTATGAATATAGGCAAGAAAGTACAGCAGGGTTAGCATTATCTGTGCCTTTGACTTTATCTGAAATTACAGATTTTTTATACTATTTTGCAGCTGCTGCCCGTATATTAAAATACAATTTATATTTATCACTAGTCTAAGTTAAAAGTTATTACGCTTGCCACTGGATCACCTATGATCATAATGTCCCTCTCTAAACAATAATTTTGCAGTTCTCCTCAAAACAATCATTCAGCTACCAAATTGTGCCATCTTTCATTGGTGGGCCACACAATTATGTTTCTCAGCACTCCCACTTCTAAGTATTCATCAAGAAAACCCTACAGTGTGATGATCTTATGTAAACTAGTTAAGAACAATTTTTATGCTGCTAAATTTAGAAAATAAAACTTAAACTTTCCCATGTTTTAAATGAATGATCTTGTTGTTGAATATTAATAGAAAAAGCACAAGTTTAGGGTTTTTTATTTCAGTAATTGTATTTCAACATAATTTTTATTTCAATAATTGTATTTCAATGTAATTTTTTGTAATTTTGTATATTTTAAGGACTAAAAGTATTCTGATACAAGATCCACTGATCAAAGGTAAACTAAACCACAGTCTCCATTTACTTGTTGATTCAGTTAATCACTCAATCAGTATTTATTGAGTACCTATGATAATATTGGGTTGAATTATCTGTAATTGCCAATTGTTGACTGTTTTTAATCTATCAAAATGGCAAACTAATATTTGTCAGTTCCAATCTAGAAGCCCACTAAATAAGAAGGTCATGGAATAAAGAATGATCTTGAAAACAGGCTGATATTTCCAGAAGTTAAAAATGTTGTGAAATGAGGTAGCACATATAAAGCATAAAGTGACAAGAAGGCAAAGTGACCAGAGGGAATTATCCATTTAATTGTCTTGAACAAGAATGACCCAAATATATTGTCAAATCTCTATTATTTTCTAAGACCTACCTGTGATGAGAAGCCTTTCCCCAAAGCCTATTAATGTTTCCATCTTTCTTTTCCAATCACACTAAATAATGTAATCTTTCACTTTATGAAATCCACTTAAAATTCATTATTAAAGTCAGTGAAAATAATGCCCTACATTTTTATGACATTTTACACTTGAAAAACTGTCACCTTATTCTATTTGATCTTAACCATACCCCCCTATACAGCATGGTCTGGAAGATATCAGTCCCATTCTTCGGGTTACACAGCACCCACATATCCAAGAGAAATCACAGAGAACCTTAAAAACTAAACTAACTTTAAGCCAGACTCTTTGTTCTCTGTGTCAAGCAATGTTAAAGGAGGTAAAATAGCAAAATGCTTCAAAATCCAGGGCTGAATCTCAATTACCACTTATAGACTATGTATCCCCACAGCTCAATTTAATGAAGTGGGAACAATAGCTTCAGGTTAAATTAGATACAGTAGTTAATGCCCTTAGCACCTACAGCAGTGACACTTAACACTATCATTCACTTTTATTAATATAAGGATTGAGCAACCAAGAAACTTGACTCTTACCTAAAAGAAGTTGGAAAAGCACTGTTTTTAAGATCTGAATAGACACAGCACAGGCTATAATATTATGATGTCCTGCCCCACAGTTACTCTGCTAAGTTACTTTACCTCTCCATTTTTTCATCATTCTACATTGTAAACATTTTTGAAAAAAAATGTCACAGGGTATGGCTTTCCAGTATCTAAAAATTTCAAAATCTCCTATGGTGGGAGCTCTTACGAAAGAGCTCACTAAAAACTACAATACCTAGAGCCAATGTTCACTCATGAGCCTAGAAAGTCTTACTTCATATAGTCGATTTGGACCAAATAATATTATCTTGAATTAGATCATTTAGAACTAAATAAATTAGCTCATGGACAGCAGCTAAAATCAATCAGACAACACCAAAGGAAAGGTATCAGGTAAAAGAGTATGATTAATAGAGAACTGGTTTTCCGTCCTAAAAGCAAAGGGTCAAAAGCAGGCTTGCTATTACTTACTCTTGGCTTACCACCTCCTCATCCTCTGAGGATGATGCTGTTTCTTCCAGGTCCCGGGCCATCACGACTGGCATTTCCTTTAGGGCTTGTCATGCAGTCAGCAGACGGGGGCCTCAGAGACCTGATCAAACAATTTGGGTGGCACAGATTCCTACAAGAAAACCAAACCATCTGAAACACGATGCAGCTATTTATTGATTATGCTGATGATCCTCCAAGTAGTGAAAATGAATACCTAAAACATGTCAAGCCCTAGAAGCCTACCTTCTATCACAGTGCCTCACCTATGTCACAAAACTCCAGTTTTTTTTTTTCAATTACATTGTCTGTCCTCTATGTACTTGAAGAGTTAATAAGATTTCTTTTATATACAAACTTTCATACATTAAATCTAACAAGATCAAAAGGATAAACTTAACCTTTAGGGAAGTCTGAGGTAGGTCGTTCATTGCCTCAAACACAAGATTCCTTGCTAGAAAAACGTGACCTGAGTTAAAAATTAAAACTCAAAATTTCAAATCCTTGCAAGTATTTCTTTAGATTCTATGACAAGCATGCCGATAAAATGCCTTCAATGGTTCCTCTAAAACAAATTCCACTGAACGAAACCATTAATACAGTCTCCTGAATCAAGGTCATAATAGCTGAAAAAGCATTGTCCTTCCAAATATTCTCAAAAAATATTTTCCCTTACTGAAAATCATAAACTATGGCCAGAATCTCAAAAACATTAAAATTAGGATTTTTTTCCCCCCGTAGGGAAAAAGTACATGTTTGGAGTGTGTGTTTGAGCAGGGATCAGAAATTATAGAGCAAGAAAATGAAAATGTTTAAATGACCACAGACCCAATACTCAGAAATAAGCCCTTGATGCCCATCTTTCCAAACCTTTTCCCGTGCACTCACACATACGATAAGATAGTAAACAGGACCAAAAAACACCGGCCCCGTTCAGGATTCCCACAGCTCCTCAGAATGGGCGAGAGCTCATTAAAAACCTCAAAGTCGTGCGTTTCTGCGAGGATGCCCAATGGGATTTCTCGACCTTGTCAAAATTGGGGGGGAAGCCTTTAAAAATTCAAACAAAAACAAACACAAACCTCCAAGGCGAGGAAGGAGTGCCCCCCTATCCTAGGCTGCCCGAGAGGGGGGACAGGACCAGCCACTGGAAGATGATGAAGGACCCTCGCCCCGGGAGCGCGCTAGCCCTGAAATGGATCGACCCCGCAGCCAGCCCCACCCCGGCTCACCCCAGTCCCAGGTGGGCTCGCAGACACCCAGGGAAGGACCCCGGCGACTCCGCCGCAGTGATTCAGTCCGACGCGCCCGGAAGCCACCCGCGGCCGCCGGCTCCGGGAGGGAAGTGCAGCGCCCCGCTCCCGCCCAGACCCCGGCGCGCAGCCTCCTCGGGTCGGGGAGCGCGCCGGCGCAGGCGTTTACCTGTCTCATCTTCCCATGGCTCGGAGCGGGCAGGCGGGGACCGCGTTCTGCGCCTACCGCCCTCCTCCTTCCCCGGCCGGGCTCACGGCCGCCGCCGACGGCTGCTTCCCGGTTACTACAACAACCAACAAGCAACCGCCCGCTGGGAGCCACTGCGCAGGCGCCCGCCACCGGCGCTGACAACGCTCAGCCGCGGGCGCGGACGAATGTCGTCATGGCCGCGCCGCGCGGGCGTCGAGCCCCGCTCGCAGCACCAGTGTTTTCACTGCTTTTTCCGCTCTTTTTCCTCCGCCCCTAAAAGGCTGCTTTCGAACCCGGGGTTCTGCCACCCCGCTCAAAAGGAGGGTACACGGAGTTTATGGCGTGCAGAGGTGAGACGGGGGCAGCGGCGACCGCTGATTGGCAGTACAGGGGTGCACGCCCCATCTCCTGCTCCCGCAAAAGCGGAGCAGCCAATCAGCGTGAGGGCAGGTGGAAAGACCCCAATCCCGGACCCGGCCGAGGACCAGGCGGGGACTCGGCTCAGTGAACCCCAGGCTGGAGCTGACTTGGAAGAGCTGCTTGGCAGTGGCTGCAGTGCTGGGCATCTAGTCGCCAGGTGAGAAGGATGTGGGGAGAACAGAACTGTCGGTGTCTGTATGATATCTAGCTGGGAGGATCCGCAGAGTCTGGGAAAATGAAGGCGGGAGGGAAGGAATATACCTGGGCAGCAGCCTTCTAAGGGTAAGAGGATTCGAAAGACCATGGGAAAGTGGATCCCAGAAGATGACGGCTCGGTAGGGTCCGGGAACGAATGAATGGATGAACAAATGAGTGGCCACTATGAACCTAGCCCTTCACTTGCTCGTGTAACTCTTACAGTTCTTGAGATAGGTATTTTCTATCTCCATTTTGCGGGTGAGGAAATCTGGACTCCAACATGTAAATTAACTTGCCCAGGATCACACAGCTTCTAAGTAGTAGGACCAGCATAGGAACCTCTTTCTAACCCCTTTGCTGGAGTGACCAGAGCAAAATTTTAGGATAGGTGCTGATTACTTTAGGAAGCCCTCACGCTTTAGGGTAACGAAGTTGAGAGATTTGATGCAGTTACATATGCCTGGTCTCTCAGATAAGCATTAACAAGTTTGTCTTCTCCCTATCTCTTGCAATGTCCGCCTTTGTTTAACAGGGTTGTCTTCTTGCATTTCAAGGAATGGGGAGTTAAACAGCAGTTGTTGAAAAAAGCAAGCTGCCGCCCACCCGTCTCCATGCAGACCCCTTCTGCCCTCTCTTTTGCAGACCCTTGCCCATCTCCCCCTTTTTTCCCCTTTGTATAAATAACCCAGCACCCAGCCAAAGAGCAGGATGGTGGTCTTTCAGTCGCCTGCCCTCCTCATTTGTCAACAAATGAAACCACTTTCCTTTTCTGCAAACTGTTTCCTTTTATTGGCTGAGGGAAATTGAGGTTGGTGTTCAGTAACAGATTGGTAGAGTAGTTCAGAAGAGTGCTTAGGCTCTGCCTCATCGGGTATCTGTTGGAGGTTTTAAAAGCTTCTGTGAAATAGGTATAAGTTCTGAGGTTGGGGGGGGGGACCTCTGCAGCTTTTCTGACCTTGGGAGGAGATAACCTGCATCTCTTATTGAGAGTGAGAAAATAAGGGAGCTGTATCTGCTTGTGATGTCCAGTAGAATTCTTTTCTCCCTGGACTTCAACAGAGTCCACTGTTATGATCCACCTTTTCATGTGGGATTCACCAGTTCAGCCTTCCTCCTCTAGAACTCTTGTTTTGTTCGCTTTTGGTACTTGACACGATTTTCGGTATTGCTGATTTTAATATCTGTTTCAGCTGTGTAGTGCAGGACCCTAGTGAAACTTGTACCACCAAAGTAACAAAGGAAAATTGATAGTTTATCACTGTTTCAAGAAGTTAATCTGACAACCAATAAGCCATAGGCCAAAAAAACCACAATGAAGATGAAAAAAAGTAATTCATTATTAGATTTTTTTTAAGATTTATTTATTTTTATACAAGAGCTGGGGTACAGGCCAAAGGCACAAGAGGGTGAGAGAATTCACCAGAGACAGAGTGGTGAGCAGAACAGGCAGATGACCAAAATACACTGCTGAGGGGAACATTGGGCGCAACAGGAGAGGTCTGCCACGCCATATGGGAATCACCCTGGCCAGCCAGGAATCCAACCAGCACTGCAGAGGCTGCGGACAGCTTCACAGCACTGCGTTCAACCCGCTGCGCCACCAGGGAGGCCATAGATTTTTTTTAATTTAATAGTTATGTGGGTTTTATTTAAGTCAAGCAGGTTGCAATCACTGCTCAGCAAGGATTGAGCTAAGCTTTTTATTTAAAAAAAAAAAATGCATAACCTTATTTCCTACACACCTTGAAGATAGAAATGGATAAAGTATGCTTGTCTTCCTCAAAAATGGAAACTTCATGAAAATATTCTCAAACAGGATGTAGTGTTCAACAGACTATGCTTTGTATTTCAAGCTCTGCCATATGTGACATCAAGTCAGTCACTTAACCTCTCTGTACCAACTTTCATCTGTAAAATGAAAATAAGCCTATTGCCTTCCTACCCTGCATAAGGGTTAAATGAGATTATCTAAGCTAGGGGCATGGCAATGGCAAGCCCCCACTAGCTCTTAACTATTATAGTTTCTCTTGTGCCTCAGTACCAAGATTGCTGTTTCCTTCTCCATATGCTTTTCTTATTAGTTCTTAAATCATAACACTTTATTTTTCACTTTTTGATTGTTCTTGGGGTTTATAGGTAATGGTGTACCTGAGAAACAAAGTAGAGAAACCTGAAGCGTAAATGTTGCCCTTACACCATAGGCTCCACCTATACATATAAGGCTTCTAAGGACTCAGCAGGACCGCTCACTGATAGGCAGCCAGGTGTCAGTTAGTAGATCTGTCATCTCCTTTCAGCTGTTTCATTACAAAGGAATGACTTGAAAAATCAGGCTAGAAGTAAAGATAGGACTGATTCTAGCCAAGAGAAAGGAGTTCTGACTTAGATAATATTTTAGAAATATCACTTAGACAAAGGTAAGTCCTATGCCACTTAATGCAAAATATCATTGATTTACCACTGTTTATATACTACATTTCTGTAACCCTTACACATCCATTTTATTAGTTTATTGGAATATTTGTGCAGTTACTTTCCTGCCACATGTGTCACTTCCACCCACTATGTTATTTAGCCTTTTCCACTCTGAGTAAAGGTCAGATCACTTTAGGTAGAGCAAACACTCGGTATGCCAACCCTGTGAATTCAGAGAAGTGTTGCAATAACCAGGGGTAGATGAACATAGGGAACTTGGACAGGAATTGATGATATGATTGACAAAAGACACTTAGTACCTCTCTCATGAGTAGGGTACAGATCAAGCATAGAGGTGAAAGTTTATGGCTGACACAGACTAGTCTGTTGTCTCATGTCCTTTGTTTTCCTTTCCAAGGCAAAATCCTTCCCAGTTTAAGGGAAGCCATGGGCTGTTTCTGGAATGTGTTACGAAGCTGGCTGTTTATGACGTCCATCGTGGCCATGGGGACCTCGCTGCAGTGCTTCCGAGACCACACCTTCCTCTATGAAAAACTCTACACTGGCAAGCCGGACCTTGGTAAGAAACCTAGTAACTGCATCCTTGGTGGGAGTGGCCAGAGTTGTGGTTTCCAGTCCAAGCTGTACATCAGAATAACCTACAAATCTTCAGCAATCAAAAAACAGTGCCATCTCCCTTTCCAAGCCAATTTATTGAAACTTCACTTCAGGATTGGGCCGGGACATTTTTTTGAACTTTCTAGGTGATTCTACTACTGCCCCATCTACCTTTTGGCAGCCCCTGGAGTAACAGACTTCATGGATAACACTGGCCCCTTTTTCCCCACCAAGTTCCTCTGAATACCTCATTCATCTTACACTGCCATAGGCAGTTAGACTATAGAAGAGGCATTACCAGGTCAAGTAAGAAATAGAATGACTTGGTGATTCTGTGGTGCTCTACTAGAAAGCCAGAAAGAAGCTTTCCGATTATCTCCACCCTCTTCAGAAATCAGGCCATGGCACTCATGGTTTATAGTCCATGTTGCCAATGGAAAGTTACTAACCCAAGGTCTTCTCAAACCATGACAGAGTTCCTGAAAATTATCCAAAATTTCCTCCAAGTTAGCTCTCAAAATGAAATTTCAGAAGGCCCAGAGTCTTTTCCCAACTTCCCCGAGCCTCTCTGCTGACAGTGTTCACGTCCCAGCCTGTGCCTCCCTGCCTTGATGCACAGCTCCACTGAGCTGCAGCACCATTTCACAGCCACCGACAATTCTGTCACATTTATAGCTGACCCAGATTCAGGCTCTGACCTAGCTCATTTTTCTGCAATATATGTGTATAAAATATAACTAAGTAGGCTAAGACTCATTTTGAGCAAAGTTCAAATAAGCAGAGTAAAGAACCTGGGAAAAGTGGCAGGTCGTTCTACTTTTTCACCTTCAAATGCTGCCCTCAGAGTGTTCAGGAACCCTCTATAGATTCACAGGTTTTTAGAGGTTACCTGCTGTGGCCCTTTTGAATTTAAAGTTGAGACCAAGACCCCAAGGGGTCATAAGACTTGGTGAAGGGCATTGAGTTGTCAGAAGAACTGTATGTGTGTCTGTCTGTGCGTGTCTCTTAGTCAGTCTCTAGCTCAGAACTAGAGTCAGGCTCCTCCCACAGGATCTGGGGTGCCCTGGAGCATCGGAGCATCCTGTACAGTTGTACCTGTTCTGGTTAGGGTAGGTGAAATAGTCCACTTTCATATCTCACTGACCTGAGAAATTGCCTCAGGTTTTTCATCAGAAGCACTATCAAATTGGTTTGTAAAGAGTGAAACCCAGCTAGATATCAGTTTGACATATGGAATTTCTTCTCACTGCCTTGGAAAGATATTCAGGTATCAGTGATTGGTTTCCATGAGCTGGAAAATCCTTAAAGTCCAAGAAAATATTAAAATAGGTGAAAGCCTGTCTGTATTGTCTCCTGAAATTTCTCGTGCTTAATAGACCAGCATCTCTGCTCTCACTGTTTTCTCAGTTCCAGCCACTGGTTGCCTTGATCAATGACTATACATTAAAATCACCTAGAGAAGAAGTTTTTAGAAAATAACCTCCCAAGAGCCTGATTTCATTGGTCTGGTACCCAGATCTTGGGAATTGTATTAAACTTCTTCAATTGATTTTAATAGATGCCAAGGTAAGGACCACAGCCATGACAAAATATGATCCAGGCGCTCAGGCAACATAGTTAATACAGCAGTGTGAGAACGAAGTCACCACAAGCAGAGTGGTCCTGGTAAATACCAAATACCAGTGCTTTGTTCCACTACCATGTGCACAGGAGACCAGCCTGTTTCCAGCTTTGTTCACTACAGACCTGGATTCAGGGGAAGACTCAAGCACTCAGGTCTCCCAGAATTTGAGTTCTCTCCTGCCTCAACCTTGAAAGTCTACTGACCTCCTAGGCATCTGGTTGTGACAGATCCCTCTGCAAGATTCCCCAACATCCTCCCAAATCTGTCCTGATCCAGACTCATGGGCTTCCCCAGAACCAGAGTGGCTTCCAGAGGCAAAGGTGTAAACTACTACTTGTAGTACCGCCTAAGTGGGCTCTTTGTTGGATTTCAAATCTTGGAACTCCCCCATCAAACTATAGATATTTGAAGAGCAGCTGAGCCGTTCTCATTCAGGAATTCCTTCCATTCCTTCTAGTTCCCAGATGCAGTACCAGAACTTCCACTCTGCCCAGCCTAAGGGAGTTCAACTCAGTCCTGCCTCTCATGAACCACCAGGGAGGTAGGGGCGGCTTGAAGGGAACCCCAGCCCTCGCCTTGTCAACACTGTAGTGCCACCATCCCAGGCCAGGCAGATAACTAAAGGAATTGATTCGGGAAGACATATAAAGGAATCTTGGGCCCTCAGTAGATATGACAGGCCTTTAATGCTGAAGCAGGGAACCAGGTATGCAGGCAAACTGGCAGGTAGGGAGACAGGCAGGCAGGCAGCAAGTGAACCCCCCCATACCCCTCTCCAATTTCCACAAGCACTAGTGTGCTCTCCCTCTTACTTCTCTCTAGTGTTCTCTTGGTCTCTCTCTCTCTCAATCTCGTAATAATCTCTCCCTACTTTTAGGTAAACGCACCCCAGGCTTCCCAGCCTCTCACCCAAGGTGTCCATAATCATAGGTGCACATGCCCTCTGCTCACACTTCTCAACCCCTGGTGTCTGCAGGCCCCCTGCTCACGTTCTCAAGTGCTTTTTGCACCAACATGATATCACATGTAGGCAATGAAACCTGGGAGGAAAGGAAGGCTGCCGGTGCCAGCCCCAGAGGCAGAAGGCGGCAAAGAGCCTGAGGAATTCCATTTTCCTTACAAACACGCATGCTCTTTTCTGCTCACAGTGAATGGCCTCCACGCTCGGACCTTCGGGATCTGGACGCTGCTCTCATCAGTGGTTCGCTGCCTCTGTGCCATGTACATCCACAACAAGCCGTACGTCAAGGGAGAGCTTTAGCCTCCTTTTGTTGGAAATCGGGTGTTAGGCATACCTGCTGTTGTCCTCTCCTTAGAGACCTGTTAATTTTGATATATCAGCCTAGACTATAGATGATTACAGGTTAATAGGTTCCATTTCTTCCAGGCCTAAAAAACATGATAGTCCTGACCTTTAAAGTGTCAAAATCCTTTGGAACTGAATAGCTGGTTGGCAGTGACATTGTCCAGATGCCTCCATCTTTACTAAAGAATCACCCTTTCTCCTACTCAAGAAATAGTGTGCTCTTTTTAGAGCAACCACCCACACTTACCTTATCCTCACATTCCTCCTTCAGAAACAGGAATGAACAAAAATTACAATCCATGGAAAAAAAGGAACCCACAAGTAAACTGCCATATGCTTATACAGAGTCCTTAGGTGAGGGTGGAAGAGAACCCGGGGCTGCACTGTGGTCTGCCTCTCCAGGGTACGCCAGCAGTCTCTAGTGTAGATGGTGTTGTAACTGAGTAACTAACTGATTCTTGCCACTGCGGGGCGCCCTCTTTCCAACTATAGTCATCACCACAATCTGTTCAAGAGGTGCAGCATTAGCTGAAGTCCGTGGATGAGGCCACCAAAATGCCAACTTCACTCTAAAATATTTCTCCATCTTATCCAAGTTTTCAGTATTTGGGGAAAAGAGGAGGTTGTGATTGTGATATTTATCGAGCCTCTCTTATGCCAGAAGCCTTCATCTATATGACCTTGATTAAGTCTCTTAGCAGCCCTGGGTGATGGTGACTTTCATTCCTGATTTTTAGATCTACATATTAAAGACCCAATTAATTTAAACTTACTCAAGTGGGAAAATGGGACTTGAAGCAGGGCTACCTTCCCTGCTGCCCCTCTCCAACTTTTCATTATTTTTTTAAAGGTTTTTTTTTTTTTTACAGTTTTAAGTTACTTGTTCTAGATTGACAAGTATTTTTGGAAGCAGTGTGGTTTAATGAAAACAGCCTGGGGCCGAGAATGAAAACAAGAAAAGGGGCTCCGGTCTCAATTCATTGGGTAACTAGCTTTGTAGCAACAAGTTCATTATATATCTGCTCTTCATCTGTCAAAAGAGAGCAGTGTGTCTGTTCTCCCTCAGGAGGACTGAGGGAGGAGGGATTGAATCATCATTGTATAGACCTTGCCCATGATGGAGAATTGCCGCTGGGTATCAGAGGTATGGCATGTCTTGCTTGCTATGCTTCTGGAGTGAACAGCTCAGACTTGTCTCCACCTGTGCTGCCCATTGACTTCCCCTCCTCCTGACACACCACAGTGACCCACGCTGACTGCTGTTTCCAGCCTTTTTGTAGCCTGGGACTTTGGTCCATGCACTTAGAATGTGCATCTGATTCTAGTCCCTTCCCAGCTGGACGCTCAGAATCCACTCCTCTACGTATGTATTTATTAAGTGCATAAAAACATGTACAGGAATGAGGAAAATCGTATTTAAGGTAACGATTCCTTCTGGAGAGGGGGAAGCAGGAGAATGGGAATGGCATGGGATAAGGCTATCCAGGATGCTTTCACTGACATCTGTAAACGTTTTCTTTCTTAGAATAAAAATATCTGTAGCCAAAATGTGAAAATGTTCAGATCTGATGAAGCAGGGTATTAGTTTCAGAGAGGTTAATGATAGTCTTCTATTTATAATTTTGTGTATGTGTGAAACATTGCATAATTTAAAAAAATTTCATAGTAAAAAAAATGCACAAAGATATCAGCAATCCAAGTGACCTGTCATCCTGTAACTTGTTTTTTTTCCTCTGCCTCATTGTCAAAACAGAGGACTTTCTCTTTCCATGAGGACCCTGTGTGATGTTTTTCTAGGCTAAAACACAAGAGTCAGCCCATATTGCAAGAAATTTGAAAGCCACAGAGAAGCGCTTGCTGCTCCATCCCTGTTCAGACCCGTCACTTGTGGCAGCCACCCTGTGAGCGTGGTCCACGACCCCCCTGCACGGCAGACTGGGATTGTAGGACCAAGCCAAAATAGGTAGAATTTGCAGCCTACACTGCCTAAAGTTGCCATCATCAAGACTCTGAGCTGCTCTAGCTTATTCCACTACCTTGCTAACACTTGGAGAGCCACCTGGGATGCCTGTGCCATTCTCGGCTCAAGTTAGCAGTTGAAACTTTCATTTTTGCCCTAGCAGGGAATAAATGAGTGTGATCAAATAACCAGCTCTTTCTCAAGACCAAGCCTCCTTTTTCTTTAGTCAAAGTCCCTTCCTGGAGTTTTATTGTATATATCACATTTAGCCACCACTTTTCCTCAGCACTGAACAAATAGTGCCTTCAGTTCTTATTTCTGTCTGCTCCCTTCTAGGCTCTACTACATTACACTCTGGACCTTCCTCATCGCCCTGGGACATTTCCTTTCTGAGCTGTTCATATATAGGACGGCGGCTCTCACGATTGGTGTCCTGGCACCCATGTTTGTGGCAAGTAAGCATCTAACCACCTGGACCTCCCACATGAAATGCCCAACCCTCCAGCCAGCACGGGAGAGCAGGCATGTGGGAGAGAGTACTGTGTTTACGCCAGCCGCTAATCTTTTGTCTCTATTCAAGGTCTCTCGATCCTGGCTATGCTAGCTGGGCTCAGGTACCTCGAGGAGGACCCAGTATCCATACCAAAGAAGAGGAACTGAGATCAGCATTACCACCTCCAAGACTTCATCTCCACCCTCGCTGTCCTCTTCTCTCATCCTCTCTCCTCTTAAATGTCTTCTTTTCTGTCCCATCATCAGCCCCTTTATTCCCTTCGAGCCTTTAACATTTTGGGTTTTTTTACATTAAAAATATTTTTAAGATACTTGCATACAGAAAAGCATGTAACACATCTGTACAATATAAAGAATCATCTTAAAATGGAAACTGTGCACCTCTATCCAGATCAGGATATTGCCAGCACCTCAGAAACCCCCTGATGGAGGCCAAGAGTAGAAAACTGGGAAAGGAGGCAGTACAGAGCAGAAACTGGCTCGCACAAGGCCAAAAGTTGGAGGTGGGGATAAAAGCGATGACTATAGTTGGTAAACCAGGTATAAAAAGATCCAGACCACAGATTGGGAGAGGAATGTGGAAATTAAGGACCTTTGTAAAAATCTCAGGTCCTTTCCATTCTACCTGGCCAAACCAAATACACAAATTCCTCAAGTATGAAGTCGGGAGCACAGATGGGGAAAAGGGATATGGAAATTGAAAGTCTTTGTCCTTTGAAATCCACTGAGTAGAACCAAGTAAAGAAATGCCTTAATTGCTAACTGATAACAAGCTTCTGAAATCCCAAAGCCATCCACCTAAGCACCAACTGATAAACTCCTTAAAGCACCAACTGACAGCAGGTATCAAACTGCTGTAAACTATACAGAGGTTGAGGACCATTAGAGAATCGTCCTTTCAGATTCTGCCTAGTTAAACAAAAGTGAACTACTGCACAGACATGAGCCCCTCCCCACTGAAAGAGGATGATAAAAACACATGGCTGCCCCCTCCAAATGCAGCTCCAAATGCCTAGGACATTACGCAAGTGTCCTTGACTCTTCTCTCCTTTTCTACAAATAAACCTAGGTTTTGTTTTGTTTTGTTTTGTTTTTTGTTTTAAATATATCTAAACGCCTCTGTCTTGTGGAGGAACTCCCCATGTGCCACTGAACGGGGAGCTCCGGTGAAACTTTCTGAGTTAACCCAGGCACCCCGCTCTCTGAACACCTCTCCAGACCAACATCACCACTCTGTGCTGCTCCCCCACCTGCAGCCTCTTCTAAGGCCCCGTTTCTGGTCTTCACTGTCTTCCTTTTATTTTCATCTTGCTTTGACATGTGTGGTGGGAAGCCCAGAACTATGAAGCTTAAAGGTGTTGCCTCACCGAGGGCAGCTGCCACCAAGGGCTGCTTCCAGGGCTGGTCCATCCATGCCAGCTAGCTGCTTCTAGACCTGGAGCTGAGCCTACCAAGACCAGGCAGTTCTTCCAGCAAGGGCCCCCTGAGAGTGGCCATGGCTGGTCTCCTTATGTGTACAGATGGGTCCGGGATGGAAGTCTGGACTCTTTTTACACTTCTGTATTTGCATAGTGAATTTTGCAATAAAGGGGAAAACCTCTACTCTGGTCCATCCTTATTCTTTGACCTCCGCTAAGCCGAGAGCACACCTGCCTCTGCCAAGCTCTGGCGTGGGCATGTCGCAGCCTTCAAACTGGCCAGGGCCGTCAGTAAGTAGGGCCTCTCTTGACCCAGGTACATGTGGTACTCCAGCTCCTGTTGCTAGCTCATTTCTCGTGAAGCCAAACTTCTTCCTCTCCTTCCCCATCTTCAAGACTCCTCAGTTCACCACTGAAAAGTCAAAAGCCTTGTTTTCTTCCCAAGAAAGAAACAGATTCTTGAGGAAAAAAACTGGCAGGAAACAAAATCAGGCAGCATCAAAGAAGCAGCTGCTTGGCCATGAAGGGGGAGAACCCTAAACCCTAGTGCATTCACTAGATGGACAGTTGCCCTCCAGACACAAGCCCGAGGGCTCATGCTGGTCCAGCCTTCACACAGGGCGTGTAGATACCAGAGTCCATTATTTCAACAAAAACTGATTGGGCTCTTACACCATGCCAGACACGTAAGAAAGAGAAATGATGACGCAGGCAAAGGCCCTGCTCTCTAACCTTGTATTCAAGGAAACAACCTACAAGCCAATAGGGGAAAAAGAAGCCCTCAGATCAGAAAACAGGTGTTGTGAGATCCAGAGGGGGCAGGGGCATGTGCATAACAGATCATCACAAAGGCCTCTCTGAGATAGGTTTTGGGCGAAGAATGGTATGCCCAGCCATCTGATGTCTTCAGATAGGAGGCATTTAGGGCAGAAGGAACAGCACCATCTGGAAGGTGGGAACAGGTCTTGTTCAAGTAGTAAGACCAGTGTGACTACAGTATGAGTATGTTAGGAAGCGAAAGGTCAGAAAAGGAGGCAGGGAACTTGTGAGGCAGATAAAAGGCTTTACTGCATTGGGAATTCTTTATCACGTAAGGCTTTCAGGTTGAAAGGAATAAAACCTTTAGTTTAATCAAACATTGACCCACAAATTGAAGTTAAGAGCATTAGGGGCTTTAGGACTCAACTGTATGGTGCCAAAAGCCGTTGCGCAATTCTAGGTGTCCCAGCCCCACAATCTAGAAAGATAGCTTGGCAGTATGAACTATCTCTCCCTTACCCACCAACTATTTGTTAAGTAATGAGTTAATATTTGTGTGTAGACCTCTTAGGAAAGGAGTGAACGGACCAATAAGATGTTCTGCACCCTTCAAGCAGGCATCATAGAAACGTGATTTCAGAAGAAGAATCAAAGTATGAATACTGGATTTAACAGCCCAGGCTTGGCCACCTTCCCAGTTGATTTAAAGTAGAATTGAAATGCTATCTCTCGGGCCTCCCGGGTGGCACAGCGGTTGAGCACTGGGCTGTGAAGCTGCCCGCAGCCTCTGCAGTACCAGTTTGACCCCCCAACTGCCGGCGGCGAGTGTCCCACATGGCGCGCAGACATCTCCTGCCGTGCCCTCTGCTCCCCTCAGCAGTGTACTTCGTCAGTCTGCCTGTTCTGTTCCCCGTTCTGGCTCTGGTGAATTCTCTCACCCTCCCACACTTCTGACTGTACCCAGTGCTTGTATAAATAAATAAATAAATCTTAAAAAAAAAAATGCTCTCTCTCTCCAGCCAAGAATTGCTGTCAGATGCAGTGCCAGAAAGGCACCCTACTCTAGCGAGGAAATGTACAGAAAACTGATAGCAGCAGCATATCCAAGTAACAGACATAAGGTGAACACAGCTGAGAAGGGAGAATCACCAAACAACTTATCCTTGAATAACATGGAGTTAGCGACACTAAACCCAGCACTGTCAAAAATTCATGTACACATTTTGGGTCCCCCAAACTTAACTCTAGTTGTCGCTTACATCCATGGAGGATTGGTCTGAACCCCCAGCCAGCACCCAGATTTGCAGATGCTCAAGTCCTTTATAGTTGATCCTGCATGTGAGGATCCAGACAACTGCGGGTGTCAGTTGTTTGGGTAAATGCAGAGCCTTGGGATACTGAGGGCCAGCTGTATTGAAAATAAATCCGTTTATAAGTGGACCCACACCATTCAAATCTTTCTTGTTCAAGGGTCAACCATAAGTACAACAGAAGAAAAACGGTAACAGAATTGAAGATGCCAAGCCTGTGGACACTGCCAGTGCAACGGGTGTGTGCTAGAACACTGGCAGAACAAACTTGAGCCACCCTTGGGGACAGAGCCAGATAAAACAGTGGCTGCAGTCACCCGTAGTCACACGGATGGACTGTTCATGTGTACACAGTCCAAAAATGGTCAGGGTCAAGTGTTGGCCCTGAGTTGCCACATAGACCAACAGCAAATGTACAGCCTTGTCTTTAATCATCACCCACTAGGGTGGTAACATGTCAACAGGAGGCCGGAGAAGCACCCAGTCCTCTTCCCAGACGTCAGCCTCAGGGCCTACCAAAAACCATCCCTGCCCCACCCAAGACCAGGCCAACCACATGGAGACTCTCTTATTGCTTTAAAACATCTGGTATCACAAATAGAAAACACAAATTATGTTTTTAAAATACAGCAATGGATTCAGTGAACGTTAATATATTTGAAGGGGCTAAGCGAACACCTTCCTCCTTATTAAGAAGTGAGGCCGATTCTCTCTCCACTTCTCTTCCACCCTTACACTCCCCTCTCCAGAAGTGTGAACTGGTATTACACACAGACACACACCCCGCCTCGCTCCCCTCAGGGGCCATGACCCAGCACCCCAACATTGTTGCCAGCGCCAGCTGCTCTGATGTGCCAAGACCAGAGCGGTGGTCACAGCCGCTCAACACAAGTCACCAAAATGTCTTCCTCTAAGGAGACACTACAAACGCCTCCAAGGAGAGCCAGGCAGCAGGCTAGGCAGGGGGAGGTCAGCTTCAGGTGGTGAAAGGGACATCTGGCAGATAATCACTAGAAGGCAGGAGGATCCAGCGCAAACACTGTCTCTACCAGGGGTGGGAGGCTTTTAATTCAAGTAATTTCTAATCCAGAGGTCACCCTTCCTTCTGCCCATTTCCTTCTCATCTCTCAGAAGCAGCTTTGGATGTGCCAGGGTGGAATGAAACAACATTAATTTTCAGGAAAGATTACAGGAGTTGGCTGGGATTCCCCTCCATCCAGAGGCACTGAGACCAATGACTGAGATCCTGGAGGACTGCCCGGAGGAAGGTGCCACGGGGGACTGTGGCACACACAGAAGTGCCTGGACAAGTCTCCTTTTGTAGAGAAGAACCTTCCTGTTTCCAGTCAAGCTACCCCAGTCCCCAAATATACGCCTTCACTCAGAAGGGGGTCCCCAGCCCCTCGCACGCCTAGGTGGCTGACGCTCCAGAATCGGTTTCTCCTTCACAGCCACAACAAAGGTTTTGTCAAGTTTATTGATGTTTGGTTTGGTCAGCTCTTAGGAAAGAGGGTTTGGGAACAGACCCCAACATCGGGCCAGGAGAATCGAGGCCCAGGGTCCCCACAGGTTTGTTCTGATGGAGCTTGTTCAGATGTCGCTTTCTCTTCACCAGAAGTTGAATGGTGAGTCTGACGAGAGTGACCCTCCCCAGAGCAGCTGCTGCTCCTTAGAATAGGGGCATCTAAGGATCCGAAGGCACTAGAAGAAGTTAATATCCTGAAAAAGCTTTCTTTCCTTGATAATGTTGCAGGTTTCTCCATGAGGGGCCGAGGAGCAGAGGGAAGGAAGGCACCAAACAGGAGGGGCTCCACGCCCCTCCACCCGCCTCTCCCAACACCAGTTCCAGGAACCTAGAAGGGGAGGCGGGAACGGGCCCAGATTTGGTGAGAGGTGCCGTTTCCCCAAAACAGCCATGCAGGCTCCTCAGCGGGTTCCAGGAGGCATGGGCGCTGCCTTCCAGGCCCCAGATATCCCAGCTGGTTCCCTCCAAAAGCTGCTCCGGTGAAGAGCTTTGGCTGGCAGTGCTAGTGGTGCTGACTGAGGAGGTAGGCGTGCTGTTCCTGAGTGGCCACCCGCTTCTTCCCTCAGACATGCTCCTCAGAAACAATAGTGGGCACCTTGCTGTTGTTGCTAATTACCTCCTCTTCCTCCTCTTCCTCCTGGAGCTTCTACAAGGCAAAATAAGCAGGCGCCATTAGGTGAAGAGGCACAGGATTCTGTCCAGGCAGGGGCAGCTGCCTGTCAGTAACTGCATGATCAGCAGGGAGGCAAGAGCCAGGGGCCACGGGGCATCCCCAGAACAAAGGTATGAAGGAGAATAGCCACCGCTGCCCCACTCCCTCCCCCCCCACCCTACACACACACACACACACACACACACACACACACACACACACACGAATACCAAAGAACAAAAAGCAGCAGACCCCTCTGGTGCCACAGCCACTACAACCGTCATTGAGTCCCACAGTACCACTGTTTCATTTTCAGGACCCAAACAGAGGCAAACCCCACTCTCCTTCCCCAATCAGACAGCCTGAAACTCCCCCGGACTGACCAGTGCAGCTGCCAAAGTGCCAAGTGTGCTGCTGCTCAGAATTTCCAACTACCCACATTTGGAGGCAGCCCTCAGAATGAAGAATATTATTATAAAGTAGATGGGGCGGAGGTAACAAAGATTTTACGAAGGTGAGATGCATAATTGCATCTGCAAACTCAAAGGCTACATGACGCACCCCCACCCACGATTTTTGGTCATTTTCATTCTTGGGGAGCATGGATGGCACAGGCTTAGTTAACAGGGAAGAGTCCTCTGGGCCATACTTGTGAGATGGGTTTGGAATGAAAATTGCCTGTGGGGCCCCGAGGTGATGATGCCACCTTGGGCGTGTCTGCTATTTTAAGGAGCACTTTGCTTCATCTAGTTCATCTCGTTAGCAAGGAGGCCTGCACAGGCAGAGCACGGCACAGCCTACTCTGTGAGGGCTGGAGGATCGTGTGCAGGGCCAAGCTACAGCCTGGAGTCAACCAGACAAATGGCGCTTTCTTCCCCAGGGAGTATCTCAAGGTCAGTCCATGGCAATGGCAACAGCTGCAGAAATCCAACCTTCCCATCCTTAAGCTTGCTAACATTTTGGCACCAAGCCAGCCTCAACCATGAGAAGACTTTGTCCAGACAACGAGCAGCCTACTTAAGTCAATCATCAGTCTCTCTTCTCTCCCAGACACACAAGCACATGTGCTCACACCTGCCTCCTCCAAAACCATCACCTTGAAATCAGAAACACAGGTTAGTGGGCATGGATGCACAGCCCCCTTCTGAGGCCAAGAACTACCAACTGGAAGGAATGTGAAAGTACAAGCCAAGATTTTTACAGTCAAGGTCAGTCATTACGTCCATTCCCATTCTGGCTCTTTTTACTGAAACTATGCACTGCCATGATGAGAATGAGCAGCTCTGGCCAGATCTGCTGCATGTGTCCTGTCTTCACCTGGCTCTGACAATGCGTGTTCCAGGGAATCACAGTCACTGCCACCCAGGGATGCTTTGTGGCTTCCCTGGTGTCAGCCCATTATGACTCCATCCTCCCCATAACAGCAGTCACCCCAGATGCAGGTGAGCTCCAGAGATGCAGAGTGAGTTATTCAGCACAATCCCTGGACTAGATTACTATTACTTCTATTATCCCTCATGCTAACTCCTACCGTGATCCATAAACCTGGTCCATGTGCACAAAGACCTGGATGCAGGAAGAGTGAAATATTGAAACAACCTCAAACTAAACGAGGAGATGGAAAAATACATACATAAGCCATAAGGTTGTAGAATGGGATGGGACGGAAAGGCTGTCGGATTGCATTAAGCAATCCAATGTGCATAGACACCCCAGAGAGAAATGCAAAATGGATTAAAATGTTACTAAGTTCACTCGAGTTAACCTAGCATGATATAGGTTATAGGTTATAGGTCGCCTTTACTTCTAATTTGCCTATATCTACCAACATAAACAGCTGTAAACACAGAAAATTTCATGCCACACGACACAGTACATCACATTCCAAGTTGAAACATCTCTATCCTTTTGCACAAGAGGTACTTTTCCCAGGCTCACTATATTTTCACCAACGTGTTCCAAGACACGATGTTCCCATGCATGTGGCAGTGACAGCCCATGTCCACAGCGGTGACGGCACGCGCCTCCCACCAGGCCAGGGACTCCCACTCCACGGCTACCCTGTGCCCCAGTGAATTTCCAGTGCAAGGTTCCCTACTCTACCAGCTACCTGCTACTGCCCGCCAGCTCCAGAGTATGATACCTGAGGACAAGTAGTAAAGAATTTACCATTCTTGTCTATCTGCCAACACGTATCCTCACAGGGCTAAGTTAACCTTTTTTGGATACCATTTTTTGCCATAGAAAATTGGTAGTCTTCAGAATGATAGGCACTCAGGGTTGGCACGCATGCACTGCTATTCCTAAGGAGCCGTGTAAATGGGTAGTACGGGCAGTACCTTTCTAGACAACAGTGCAGCAACAGTACATATCAATGTCTTAGAAATGTGCACAGACACTGAACCATTTCTCATGGGAATTCTGTGCTTAAGAACAAGCACAGAGGGCCTCCCTGGTGCCACAGGGGTTAAGACACAACCTATGAAGCTATCCGCAGCCATATCAGCACAAGTTCGATCCCCAGCCCGGGAGCTGCCCACATGGCTCAGCAGACCTCTCCTGTCACGCCCACTGCCCCCCTCAGCAGTGTACTTCAGTCAATCCACCTGTTCTGTTTTCCACTCTGTCTCTGGTGAATCCTCTCACCCCCCACACCTCCAGCCTGTACCCCAGTTCTTGTATGCATGAATAAATAAATCTTCAAAAAAAAAAAATAAAGAACAGGCACAGAGATTCAGCTTTCAGGACACAAATCATAGCATTGGCTGTAACAACAATTAGAAATAACCTTAATGTCTACAGACAGGAAAAATGTGAAATCATGGTTCATCCATATAGCGGAACAGCAGCCATGAAACATATATTGTAAAAGACGAAGGACCTGATAGTATTTGTAGAAAAGCAGATACAATAGGACTCCCTTTTTGTTTGAAAAATACATATGTGTCTGTGTATACATATGTATGGACGTATCCATGCATATATTTCTCTATATGTACACACACATGTAGACAGACATAAAAAAGTGAATGCAAAAAAATTGCATCTCACCCTTCAGATGATGGTATTACAGGGTGATTTTTAAATTTCACACACTTCTATATTTTTTTCAGGTTTTCTACAAAGAATACATATTACCTCTGAATAAAATTTTTTTTCTCTAACAAAATAGCCCACTTTTACTCCCGAGATTTGAGTTTTCTTTCATCCTCACTCAGGGTTGATAGCAAATAATTCAGTTAAAATGGTTCCCAGCTGATTAAAGCATATGGGAAACACTTTTCTGTTCTAGATCATACTCTGGGCCCTGCCCTTCTACCACTGTCTCTCCTGCTTCCTGACTTGTCCTCTTAGTGTCTCGCTGGCAAGCTGTTGGCTTCAGCCCCTCCATCCTCGTGGCACTGCCTCAGGGCTGTCACGTGCCAGGAGAGTCACTGCCTTGGGCCACCACCACTGGGACAGGCGCTCACCCTTACCTCCCCTGTCTTTGACCCCAGGTTGAAAGTCCAAGAGCCAGGGCCTCAGGACTTGGCTCATGTTTCAAGCAGTGGGTACTGCTTAGGACTGACAGCAGTGACCCTGGAAACCAAAGCAGGGAGTCCGGGAGGTGGGAAGGAAGCAGGAGAAGAGCAGGGAAAAGCAGTGCCACAGCCATGTACCTCCTGAGAAAACTAGGTGCCATGTTTGTGAGCGCTGAGCTGGTCACCACCCAACCAGCCCACTCTGGGAGCTCCCGCTCTCCTCACCCCGGCTGCCACACCCTCAGCAGAGCCCGAGCCCCAGATCTCAGCCAAGTCAGCTCCCTCCTACTCACATTCTCAGGCATTTCATTGTTTGCTTTCTGCCTCCGGAGATCTGCCCTAATGAATGCTGAGAAGAAAGAGCAACAGAGACTGTTATGAAACAGATCAACGATCAAGTTCATCCAAGAGAAGGAGCCCTTATTTTCCTAAGGGTCATAGATATGTATCCCAGACCAACTTCAGATCTAGGGAGCTGATAAACTTGATAAAGCCCAGGGATCTGTGATGTCCCTAACAGGCAAAAGTCAACGAGGACAGCCTTCATTTATAGATTGCTTACGTTTGCCAGGGCGCTTGCACACAGATCTAAGCCTCACGACAATCCCATTTCACAGATTAGAAAACAGGCCCCCAGAGGTTGGCCCACGGTGTCACACTCTGGGATTCAGACAAGGGTCTTCTGGCTCCAAAGCCTTTGCTTATTAGTAAACAAGCCCTCCCCTCCGTACCCTGCATGGGTACTCCCAATCTGTACAATCATTTTAGACACTGGGGTACACTGGGGTACCAAATTACCTGCAGCCTAAGCCCATAAGCAGCCTCAGCCTCTCCTTGTCCTCAGGCCCCAACTCACCAGTGAGGCACGTTCCAAGGGTAAGGAACACACACAGGAAGATATTCCCAAACATGGTTCCATAGTGGTCAATGATCTGGCCCTGGGAGATGGTGAAGATGATCCCGAATACCTGGAAAGGCACAAAGAAGACTGGAAACAAGGATCCAGCCCACTAGCCCGGGGCAGGGGAGGGGGGTTATTCACGGCAATAATGCAGTGTCTGCAGCGGCCAGGCCAGGCAGGGGACAAAGAACCACTGCTTTGGGGCTACTCTACCTGGGCAGACACGTTGAGGAGACCAGAAGACATGCCTTCCGATTCTGGGTATGTCAGTTCCACAGCAAACTCAAATCCCAGGGGAAGATAGCCGGTCATGAAGAAACTAAAGAGCAGAGCAAAGACAAGGTGAAGGAGAGCTCGTAGGACAGGAAGGGTGGGTTCCTACCCCAAGCTTCCCCTTATTTCCTTCCAGAGAAAGACTATGTATCTATCTATCTATGTGCCAGTTTCTCTCTCTCTCTCTCTCTCTTTCTCTCTCTCTTTCACCCACCCTTTCACACAGACACACACATACACACACACACACACACACACACACACACATACTGCCCACAGAAAAATAACTGGGAGATGGAACTGAGACCTCCATGGAAGGCTTACTGCTTCCTACGCTTTCTCATACAACAGGCCTAGAATGTTCCAATATAATTTATTGTGCAACGCATCTTGCTGCCTTCACATCTACTATCTCTCAATCCTTCCAACAAGAGGCAGGCTACTCTTTGATTACAAGTGAGGAAACTGAGGCTCAGCATGTTTGAGTGACATGCTTGTAAAGGTCCAACAGATGATCAGCAGCAGAACTAAAACCGGGACTGAGAGTTCTGATTCCAAGCCTAAGTACTTTCAGTGACTCCAGGTTGTCCCAGACAGAGCTGAAAAGGACTCTCAACAATTGTGTGCCTCTCAGAGGTCTGTGAAGGGCATACTTCATTCCCAACAGCAAGGGTGGGCCTGGAAGCCCCAACTGCCTTTTGAAGTGCTAAGTGAACAAGACCTCTGGACACTATGGCTATATCTCAGAGGTCAGTAAGAAGGCAGCAGAAAGAGCTATAATGTTCCGAGCATATCAGCAGCCTGAAGTGGTGTTTTCCAGTTAAACAGCTTAGAGATGAAACTTACCCCATTGTGCCAGCAGTGATGAACACCACCCATAGATGTCCCAGCTGCAAGGTAAACGTGTACACCACCATGCCCACCAGAGTCATGATGTAGACCACCAGGGTCGTCTCCCTACAAGCAGAGGCAAGAAAGCTGAGGCACGCTCTGGTCTTTAGCAGGATTCCCGAGGCATGCATTCATTCCACAAGTATCTATCAGGCCCCTGCAGGGTGACAAGCCCTCTCCTGTGCACTGGGACATCCACCCTCACAGGACTTTCAGTCCAAGCAGCTGATGGGAAGAGAACCATGATCCACAAGTAATTGATGGCACCGTGGTCAGCGCTACAGGGTCAGACCAGGGAGGATGTGACACAGGCAGGTGGGACACAGCCCTCTCCTTCCCTAGTCCTCAACCAAAACACAAATAGCACAAACACCAGCTCTGATCACAGTCCCCTTGACTCTGCTGGAAGCTGTAAACTGACTTGTGGATTCTCTGTCATCTGCAACCTCCCTCTGTGGCCACTTGCACAAGCACAGCTTGCCCTGCTGAATGGGAACTGCTCGCTCTAGACAGCAGGAATTCTCCAGCCTAAGGGCCAGCAAAACCTCCATCTGCTCAATTATAGTTCCCTGCACGGGTTCTCTCCGAAAGACCATGGCAATGTGCCCGTTCTGTTCCGGGCTCCCTCGGCTGGGGCCCCTCTCCTGTGTCTCCCCGCATGTTGCCCACCGAGGACTCTGCCTTCTTCTCCTGCACAACCTGGCACTGCCCTCCTGCCATGCAGACACGGAAAGCTGAAAGTCTTTCCATGTCTCCCCAGAAGCCAGAAACATGACACACGATAGTTACATCAAATAATTACATCACTGGGGCCAGACCTGCTGTAAAGCACTTTACATGCATTGGTTATTTCACTCAACCTTGCCAAAGCCCTGCAAGAAATGTATGATAATCCCTGATTTTACAAATGAGGAATCTGAGACTCGACTCATTCAGTTAGTTGTCCAAAGTCACCTGTTGAGTGAAATGCAGAGCTAGGATTTGAAACGTGTGTTCTTTCTACCACTGCGTACAGGAATGATAACATACTATGTGGTGGCATCTTTGCAAAAGTTCAAGGCCAGAATCAGAGTCACCCGACTCTGCAGGATGCTTTGCCTCAAACAGCTGTGAGGATAAAGCACAAAGGAGGTCCCTCCTGCCCCCTGCTCTTCTCATTCTAGCCCCATCCACTCTGGAGAAAGCAATTTCTTGGACACCAGTTTCTCCCTGATCCCACGAACTCATAAGATACAGGAACTTTCTTTTACTATCTTTCTTTAACCACTGCCTTATATAAAACTACTGACCATTTAGGAAAAGCATCTGTAATCCCAGCTTGAGACAAGGGACCAGACCACCCAACTCCCAGCCTCCAACCAGACCCGACAAATCCGGGAGCCTTAAGGAGAACTGCACTGAAATGACCAGGTCACAGAGCTCTCCCACCCGGGGCTTGTTCTGTCTCGGCCTGGGCTGTGGCACTGGGAGGGGATGCCTAGTGATGACCGCTAGATCTTGGCCTCCAGTGATTCAAGGAACTGATGATTTCTGGTGAAGAGGGCTGAGGAAGTATCCTTCCCAGAACTTTCACTGTATTTTTCAATTCATCCGAAACATCTGCTGCCCACACCCAAGTCCAGCTGACATTCCAATCCCTCCCTTCCCCTGCCACGGAGGAAGCCCGGGGGGAAAGGGACACTGCCGTTTACCGGTTCGGGGGCAACCAGTCCACACTGCGCTCGTCTATTATGGTCAAAGCAAGTAATCAACAGATGGCAGAGGCAAGGCAGCGGCCAAGCCCCACCAGCAGTAATGAAGTCGACCAGACTCGCTGTGCTGTTCCAGGTGTGGCCTCAATTGGCCTTTGACGAGGGCAGCCAGAGTGGTCCTGGTCTGGCCGGAGCCACACAGAAGCGGGCTTGTGTGGCAAAGAACAGCTCTGCCACTGTCTCCGGACACTGGAAACATTGGAGGCCTTGACAAAACAACCCAGAATGCCACCCAACCCCAGCACAGGACAGTCCTGGCAGCTGCCCCACCAGGTAGCACTAATTGAGCGCCCAGGGCATGCAGAACACTGAAAGATGCAACAAGGGAAGGAGTACTTCTGAGTACTTTTTGCCAAGGCTGCCTACTGAAAAGAGGCACCCAGGTTGCTTTTGACAAATGCGGTCCCCCTAGAGAAGTTGCATCCTGGATTAGCCAGGCATACACTAAAATCTCAGAAAGACTGCTTTGGGCTCTCAGAACCACATTAAGCATTCAGACCCAAAGCACACCTTATTGATTAATAAGATAGAAGCAATTGCAAGTTAAGGCTCTGCAAACTGGAATAAACACTGGGTGCTATGGGGATCTGAGATGAGCTGGGGGACAGAGCAAGGCATCACCTCATTTCTCCACACTTTGAGGTTTCCACAAACTTTCCAACTGCTAGCATTTTTCCACATTCATTTTCATTTCACTCTCATCTACCCTTGCACAGGCCACCTGGGGCCGGGTAGTGGGGGTATGGCACCAGGCCTCTGTGTAGCTCTCTCTCATTTAAAAAAAAAAAAAAGGAAAAGGAGACTCAGAGAAGTTAAGAACGTAAGACCTCCTACCTGCTGTGCCCAAGCTTGTGGAGCCTTACTGAGAATGAATATGTCATTTCAAATCATGAGTCCCCGACGGTCAGCTGGAGAGGAAATACCACTTACTTGTAGGTTTTGGACCTGTCCAGCCAGATGCCCGAGATCATGGCCCCAAGCATTCCAGCGATGATGATGGTCAGGCCGATTCTTCCAGCATTGACTTCCTCCCCCTGGGAAAACCACAGTCCCAGTGATGACCCAAGGATGCAACAAAACCTCAGACGACGCAGTCACCACAAGGCCAAGGGACAAAGGCAAGTAATGAGCCCACACTCAGAAGGTATCGGACAGGAAGGCCTGTTGGGAAGCCGCCAGCAGGAAGAGAGTCCTAGAACAGCAGCTTCTCCCCACACCATATAATCCCAGATGCTGGGTGAGCAAATCCTATCCTTAGGTCCACTTTTAGACTTCTTTTTTAATTTAATCCTATGGCAACCCTTTCTTTTGTCTTGTTTATTATTATCCTCATTTCACAGATGAGGAAACTGGTGCTATATATATTCAAATATTCCATATTTAGGTTTTTGAGTTATCAGTACCAAAAGGGATAGGAAGACAACAATAACATATTTTTGAGTGCTTATTGTGAGCTAAGCAGCTAAAGATTTTGCATAATCATCTCACTTCATTCTCATAATTCTCTATTATAAGGTTAGGCATCAATTCCCCAATTTACAGATCAAGAAACTGAGCTCCAGGGCTTCACTGGTGGCACAAGGGGTTAAGTTGCAGCACTATGAAGCTTTCTGCAGCCACTGCAGCACGAGTTTGATCCCCGACCAGGGAGGTAACCCACATGGAGCAGCAGACCTCTCCTGTCTCACCTGTGGCTCCCCTCAGCAGTGTATTTCAGTCAGTCTGCCTTTTCTGCTCCCCACTCTGTTTTTGGTGAATCCTCTCATCCTCCCCCCACCTCTGGCCTGTACCCCAGTTCTTGTATGCATAAATAAATAAATCTTTAAAAAAAAAGAAACCGAGGCCCAGTTAGATCAGCCTGCTAGCCCAAGTTCATTAGGCATATGTTAAGTGCAGAGCTGGGATTTGAACTCATACCTGTGAAACTATAAAACTAAAACACTTAGCCACCGTGATCTCCACCTCTGCAAGTGTAAGAGCTTCTTTTTTTCAAAAGGGGGCTGGACCTGGTCTTGACTCCTACACACACTCACTACCCTGTTCTCAGCATCTAGCCCCTGATTGTTTTTGGAAAGATTTGAAAAATGCTTTCAGTTGAGCAACTAAGAATTCAAAATGAAAGCTTACCCATATTTTACAAATTAAATATTTCATATGTGATTCTATATGTATTCTCGTGTTGCCAGGAACCATCCTCTGTACTGTATATATCTGACATTATTTACTTTCTAATGCTGAAAAGAATCTTTCAATAAGTAATTATGTTTCATTTGCAGAAAAGAGAATGAGGCCTCAGAGATGCTAACTAGTTTGTTACATAGCTGAGTACCACAAGGAGGGGAGCTGAAACCCAAGCCTGTCTCCCCTCTAAGTCCCCTAAGCATACCACCATACCACACTGGCCAGAAATGGGGGGAGCCAAGAGTTAGCTGCTGCCCCAGCTTCTGCCAAGACAGAATCAGAAATCTCATCCTCTCTGGGCCCAGCAAGTGTGGGGAACTCCCTTACCGGGTAGTGCAAGATCACCATGCGATTCAGCAGAGTAGACAAGGCATAAAAAGCACCGGCGTTCAGACCTGAAGGAGGAAGGGAGAATCAGCATCAGGATTAGGCTTCTGCTGGGGCCATTGTGAAATTTCCTCCCCCTACCTCCCAGCAGTTCAGAAGTCAGAAGTCTTCATCCCTGTTGTCACTGTGAGTGGTGACTCAGAGAAGAAAATTCCAGTAGTATGAAGCTATTCAAAGAAAGACTCCAAAACAACCAAAAGTAACCATTCTGACCTTTTCTTAGTCAAACAGCCCTCTGATCCCTTTTAGCCCTGCTCTAGAAACACAGACTCTGCAAAGTACTGCTCCCAGGTCTACATTCCTCTTCAGTGCTGGCTAGACCCATGGGGTTGTCAGACTCCTAGCCACCTGCCATCTCTTCCATGCGCAGACTGCCCCTCACCTCTGACACCGGACACCAACCCCTCGGCAGGTGGCTTCCTGTCTCTCTCTCTCCATCCCTCCTTCAACCTTCTTCTTTGACTCAATGTCACATAAAATCTTATATTTGAAACTGGAAAGGACCCTAAAGAGCATTATTTGACTCTCCCAATTCCTCAATTTATCTGGCAAGTAAATGAAGCATGAAGAAAGTGCTGTTAGAATCTGTGTCCTTAGAGAATGAGGCCATTTGCCCAAACAGTGAGTTAGTAACTAAGACTGGAACTGACAGAAGAGAAACAGCCCCTGTGCTCCCTGTGCTCATGATGTGGTCATGGTGATGATGATGCTGATGATGGCAGCACCCACCTAAGTACTGGATACTGTTCTTAAGCACCTTCCAATTCCCATAACGACTCTAGAAGGTAATGTTACCCTAGTATTACAGAAGAGAAAAATACACACAGAGTTTAAAAACAAATACAGAGGTCACTCTGTAATGCCCACCAGAGTCACTTTTTTTTTTAAAGATTTATTTATTTATTTATACAAGCACTGGGTACAGTCAGAAGCATGGGAGGATGAGAGAATTCACCAGAGCCAGAGCGGGGAGCAGAACAGGCAGAAGGACCGAAATACACTGCTGAGGGCAGCAGCGGGCGGCAGGAGAGGTCTGCGCGCCATGTGGGACCCTCCTCCGGTGGCCAGGGAGTAGCCAGGAATCGAACCGGTGCTACAGAGGCTGCGGGCAGCTTCGCAACCCAGCGCTCAACCCCTGAGCCACCGGGGAGGCCCCCACCAGAGTCTTTTATGCTTTAGTTAAACATGAGAATTCACAAGATTATTGCAGCCACACTTGCCATTAGGCCCACTTAGAAGAGGACACGCAGCTCACTGGCTGGGTGGCCTGAGGAGTTCCTGTTCAAAGGAACCAGTCCACAGGACCCCAGTCACTGGGCCATCCAGAAAATACTCTCTTTGGCCCCAGGTGATGGCTGAGGGGCAGGGAAAGAAGGCAACCTTGTGAGGCCCTTATGGAAGCCTCTCCTGCTCGTAAGGCTTCCAACGGGGATAGTATCCAGGGACCCTGAAGAGAACAGGCCAGTGAAAAAGAGTTATCCTCTTGAGAGAAGCATAAAAAATGGCTTCCTACCAGGTAGAATAGCTGCCCAGTCCTGTAATGGTCATTTTTATCATAAGCAATGTTCTCTGAAAGCAGTTGACTTACTCCCTTGACCAGGTGTTCAGAGGAATGAGGTACAAAGTTACATGAAGGGACCAGGAAAATGAATATAAGAAAGTGAAAATCAAAATCAACAAAAAACTATGAACCAGAGACACTTTTTGGGGGGTGGGGGGCGGGAGGGGAAGGATTGGGGTCAGAATGGGGCGTTTGCAATTGTATGGGGGAATATAAAAATAAAATTTAATATAAAAAAAAAAAAACAAAGTTACATGAAGGTCATATTCTCACACAAAATGGGCCAGGAGGTTTTTGTGCTGTTCCCATAATCACACAGGTGGCACGTGTTGAGGCTGGATTCAAACCCAGGCTATAGGTACCAAAGACCTTGCTCTTAACCACTCTGTTTCACATCCTCACAAAGCAGGTTCTCTAAGATTTCCCAGCTCAGATTACTGACAGTTTTCTTGTCTCCCATGGGGCTCCCACAGGTCACCTCAGGGATGCAACAAGGCCGGCTCAATGCTCCTGCGGTGGGACAGGACAGCAGTGGGCTGGTAAACAACCTAGTGTCACCAAAAGCCACTAGACACGCCAGGCTGATTAGGGCTCCAAGGCTCTCAGCACCTTCTCATCAACTAGCATACCTGCCAAACTCTCATAACCCTCATACCACTCACCCAGTCACCTGGAAATTCCCTTTCTGAGTCAAGAGGGCGCATCAGGAGACACATTCCTGAAAAGGGTGATGGTATGGAGTAGGGACAGGGAAGATGAAAATATGCCCCCTTTATGCTCCTCATGCCTCTCTCAGCCTCCAGTCCTTGCCTAACACTGTAAAGGGCAAGGGACCAGGCCAGTGACCTCAGATCAGGTGGTATGGTTACCTGAGCCGGGAGCCCCAAGTGGGATGAACAGGAGGGCAGGATCATGGGGAGCAGAGGGAAGTGATCCAAGAGATTGGGAAGAAAAAAAACAACTCCACCTCAAACACCTGAAAAAGTGGAGCCATTTTTGTGACTCTGGAAAATGAAAGTCTGGGGGGAAACAGTCCTGAAATAGAGCAATTTCTCTGGGGTTCAATGGTTTAATGAAATGGGTCCAGTTTAAGGTCTGTGATCTGTCAGCACTACCTGGGAGTTTGTTAGAAATGCATATTCCTGACTCCATCCCTGACCAGGGACAGCAGACACTCTGGGAGTAGGGTTGCCTTCAGTGTGTGAAAAAGCCCACCAAGAAATTCTAGTAATGCTGGGGTCAGAACTCAAGCCCCGGCAGACGAGTGTGGCTTACCAATAGCCTCTCCCAGCCACCCAGTCAGCCAGGACAGTGAATCAGGGCTAGCGCAGGAAGTGGGGGAAGCAGGAGCTCTCCCCAGAAGGCTGCCAATCTGTCCAGTTGTTTTTACAGTCCAAACCTATTGGAATTAGGACCTTCAGTACGGTTTCTGAATCCATCCGAAGTCCAGACATCCCTCTCCATATTGTCCAAGTTTGCCACACATGGTTAAATAGCACAAGTCCATGCCACTGCCCAAACCAGTGGATTCCAAGAATGAAATGTGAGTTCTGCCCTGGGTGTGAGTACCTCTTACAGGAACGAAGTTCCCATGCTATATTCAAGTACAACTACCCCAGCAAGTCTGTCCTGTCAGGGTCATAGTTGTGTTAGACAATGTCATCTTCCCTGAAATACCTAGACATTCTTGACTATCAGTCACCTGGAGAAGAGCCAGTCACTGAAGAGGCAAGATTTTGGAGGGCAGGGCCTCCCTGGTGGCTCAAGGGGTTAAGACGCAACCTATGAAGCTATCTGCAGCCACTGCAGCATGAGTTTGATCTCTGGCCGGCCAGGGAGCTACCCACATGGAGCAGCAGACCTCTCCTGACTTGCCCGCTGCTCCCCTCAGCAGTGTATTTCACTCAGTCTGCCTGTTCTGTTCCCCACTCTGTCTGGTGAATCCTCTCGCCCCCACATGTCTGGCCTGTACCCCAGTTCTTGTATGCATAAGTAAATAAATCTTAAAAAAAAAAAAAAAAAACGATTTGGGAGGGCAGAAAGACTTGGCATCCCTGAGTCTCTTTTGCTCCTTTGTCGCCAGGTCCCCAGGTGTCTCACCCCCATGTCTCTTCCAAGTGTCTCTGCATGTCTCCTTCAAGTCCCCAGGTGCAAGTCCCAGCTGGAGAAGCAAGAGAAGTGGGCCTGCTTGCCTTCCATGTTGTATAGGGCCATCTGGTCACTCAGCTCAGCCCCTAGTTCCCAGTATTTCCCTTGCTCAGGAAATTCAGCTCATGACATACTGGGACATGTAATCCAATGTAAGTGGGCACTTCCCCTTCACAGAGGTATATCTGTAATACTCATTTCCATTCAGAGCACTCCAGTGGGAGGTAAATTATATTATTTTCTGAAGTGGGTAATTAGAGACAAATGATGGGCACAGGAAGGGGGAAGGTGATATACTCAATAACTGCCAGAGCTGACACCAAAACTCAGATCTCCCATCCCTTATGGTCCCAGCATTCAAGGCTTTTTCTCCAAGATAGAGTCACCCACAATCCTGCAAACATGCTCATGAAATGCTATCTATTGATTTACATGCTGTTAAGTGCACATAACTGAGGGAAAATACCGATATCGCATGTACAAACTATGAATCACTGTCCTCTTCAAAGCCCAACCCAAGAATGAAGGGAATTCTAGAATGTTTCAAAACATCCAGCTGAATTTACAGGAGACCTCTGTTTTCATTTTTCTAATTTGGAGTGGGCGAAGAAAACAAATATTCCCAGGTGAACTAGGGGCCAAACACTACCTTTATAGGCCTCAAGCCATATATGCCTTTAGGGGCCTATATAAACATTTGAGACACACTAAGTTTCAGACCTCATCATCCCCAGATCCCAAAGATGCCTGGTCAATGTAGGTTGGACCTGCTTCTAAAACCCTGGAACTTTAGACCCATAAGAAAACAAGCCCAGCAATTGGTCTGAAGGATTGAATCTGAGAGAGTGCCGTACTACCCCAGGTACATTCAAAACCCACTCAGGTAAGCTGGACTAAGAAAAGAGCCCTGGCTCTGTCTCTAAAAGGTTCCTTTCTGCACATGGAGGCAAAATGGTGCCATGGTTAGGAGGACGTCTTTGGCATGGACAGACAGAGGTTTAAATTTAAGCTCTATTCCTTGCTAGCTATTCAATTATGGGCAAGAAACTAAATCTCTCAGAGCTTTGATTTCTCATGACTAGAATGGAATAGAGTTAAAAACTTATGTCAAGGGGTGCTTTGAAGATTGAAAGAGATGATGAACATAAAACACATTACATGGTGTCTGACATGCAGTAATGACTCAATGCAACTTTTCTTCAAATCGGTGAATAAGCTGAAGAATCATTTCCTCCTTGGCAGAGAACCCGGTTGCCAAGTCCAATTCTCTACTGTGAAAATAAGACTTGTAATTCCCTGACCAGAATGAACTGTCTACAAACATCCACATTAGTTTAATTCCTTCTCACTGGGATAATCCCAGACTTTTGAGGAAAATGTTACTAATTCTGTCTACACACAACAAAGTCAAATGTTTCCAGAAGCTCAGAAGTGAATTGCTTTTCTAGTTTAGCATTATCTCAATTTAAATAACAATTTACTGCCTGCACTTTCTCCCTCTCCTCTCCTTCCCAGGCTTCCATTATGCATATATTATTATGATTATGGTGTCCCACAGGCCTCTGGGGCTCTGTTAATTTTTCCTCATTCTTCTTTCTGTTCCTCAGATGGGATAATTTCATTTGACCTATCTTGAAGTCGACTGACTCATTCTTCTGTGACCTCAAATCTCAGGTTGAACCTCTGGTGAATTTTCATTTGTTACTGTACTTTTCAACTCCAGAACTTCCATTTGGTTCTGTCCTTATTTCTGTCTTTATTGATATTCTCTATTTGGTGAGACATCATTTTCTACATTTCTTTTATTCTTCAAATGTGGTTTTCTTTCATTCTTTGAAATATATGATAGTGGATTTATGATCATTGTCTATTATGTCCAACATCTGGGCTTCTTCAAAGACAGTTTCCATTAACTGTGGATGGGCCATGCCTTCTTGTTTTTTCCCATGTCTCATAATTTTTTATTGAAAACTAGACATTTTAAAAAAACATGGCAACTCTAGAAATGAGACTCTACCCCCAGGCTTTGTTGCTATTTCTGCTATTTGTTCAGTGGCTTTCCCAGATTAATTTTGTGAAGTATTTTCCCTTTGTCACGTGTAGCCACTAAAGTTCTGGTCCATTGGCATGGTGGTAAAGTAGTGATTAGATAGACAGTTCCTAACCCAATGGGTTTCTCCCTTTGCCAAGGGTGTGTGTTTTTGTCATGTCTCACCTTCAACTCTCTAGCAAGCAAATGACAGCTCTGCCTTGGCTTTCACTTCCTGTTTGCACAGAGCCTCCAGGTAGGCCAATGGTGAGTGCTTTGAACTTTCTTAGGGCACATGCACAGTTCAGCATGCAGATCCCTAAGAAGGTATCAGAGCTTTTCAAAGTCCCCTATGACCACCTTCTTCTCCTGATTTTCCTTTTAATTTTTTGACCAGTCTCTTGTTTACCCCAGCTGGTATCACTGCCCATGGACATCTGTGATGGTAAACAGTGCCTATGATTATTTTCAATGAATGCCCTGGGAATAGGACTTTTCCCACTGAGTATGTTCCAATTCAGGTCAAATAAAGTCAAGTCCTTTATTTGAAATTTTGTGAATGGGGTTTTTCCAGGGACCTGCCAAAAAGGACAAATAGCATTTTTGGGGTGGCACTCCAGGGGCTTCGAGGTGGCTAGTTTCATTGCTACCATGACTGAAGCTGCTGGTTTTCACTGCCACCACATCTATGAGACTGCAGCTTGTCAAGCCTAACACAGAGCCTGGAGGGGAGTTGGAATCAGAGTTACAATACAAAGCTCACCATTCTTCCCAATATTTAGCCATATTTCTTTAAAAAGTCCCTTGAATTGGTGCAAGCCTTTGGTTATGAGTTCTGAAAAACTGATTTTAACAATGTTTGCTTTGACAATGTGTTCTTATTGCTTTATGGAGGAAGTGATTATCTAAGGTCTTCACCATTCCAAAAGTCCTTCCGGCTTTACTGCCAGCATTATCACTTAAGGAAATAGAAGTTGCCCTGCCCTGCAGCATGGCCCAGAGCTCCTCACAGACAAGAGGCAACACTGTTCCTGTTACATCTTATTTTTGTTTCTTGCTTTCATCGGTCACCTGACCCTGCAGTCAAAAGCCTCCAGGACTGAAGGCCACGGCCGGTGCAATGGGACCACTGCCTGTATTTCCACCATCACCATTCTCGGCCATAGGAAAAAAATCATTAAGGGCTCATCTGCCCTGGAATCCCCAGGTTGACCTCAGGTTACCCTTTTATCAAATGCAATACCATTTTATGGTGGTAAAAGGTCAATGCACTCCAGTTGCTTAAACTTAGGGAAAAGTGAAAGTTCTTGAACCCATGAAATTCTGAGTCTAGAGGGAACCCCTAAAGTCACCTGGGTTCACTCTCCATCTGTAGCTTGATATTCCCCACAAAATCCCCACCAAGGGACAGTCCCCTCAACCTCCCACTAGCAGGCAATTCATACTTTCTTTAGTTGGACACCTTAAGTATGAGAAACTATGTGGGTGAATGCGCAGACCTACTCAGAGAGAACTGAGAAAAGGGGAGAATGAAAGAGAACATGAAGACTAATCTGGTCACCAATAATCACTGCAGATGACGGGTCCCCTAACTCCTGACTGCCGGAGAAACAGGCAGGCCTCTACACTGGAGGAAACCATCGCTTATTTAGTGCCTTAGCAGATAAACATTTTAACTGCAATAAAGGAGGTAAAGGGCACAGATAAAATGAAACCCTAGCACAATTCGCACAAATCAAGGAAGGGAAACAGGCAATTACGGGACAGCATTAAAGGTTATAGGCATCAGAGTTAGATAAACTTGTATTTAAACCCTGGCTTTGCTGCTAAAAAGCTGTGTGATTATGAGCCAGTTGCTTAAATGCTCTGAGCTTCAGTTTCCTCATCCATTAAACATAATAATTACAGGACCTACCTCACACAGGAAGAAATTAAATAAAACCCTCTAATCTCATTCTTTCCATATGTTTATCGGTCACTTTATACACTTGTTGACTCTAGATTTTTAACCAAATTAATAGGTGAATTAAATGGCCAACTGCAGGCTGGACAGAGGCCCAGCCGGGTGGGCTGTGAAGACACTCTTCAGTGGAATGCCATGGGATGCTGTTCCTGCCCTGTGCTGCTCCAACATCCTTATTAAAGGGTGGAAAGAAGATGCAGAAAGCACCATGCTAGAGGGCAAGCTCACAGGCCAATATGAAGATTCAAATTTATCTTATTTGTCAAAAGGCATGAAAATGAGGGCCTCCCCTGGTGGCGCAGGTGGTTGAGCACAGTGCTATGAAGCTGTCCGCAGCCTCTACGGTGCCAATTTGATCCCGGTTGGCCGGCGAGGGTCCCACATGGTGCAGCAGACCTCTCCTGTCGCACCTGCTGCTCCCCTCAGCAGTGTATTTCATCAGTCTGCCTGTTCTGTTCCCTGCTCTGTCTCTTGTGAATCCTCTCACCCTCCCGCACATCTGGCCTGTACCCTGATTCTTATATACATACATACATACATACATACATACATACATACATACATAAATAAATAAATCTTTAAATAAAAAAAGACATGAAAATGAAACAAGGCTATTGTTCTGCATTCAGGACAAGGAGTCAGTGGAGCTTCATTAGCAAGGCCCGTGTCTGCATTCTTTCATTCATTCATTCATTCATTTCACAGCCATCAGAGTGAGCAACCACTCCAGGCTGCCACAGTTGAAAAACTACACAGATTAAAGACACAAATCCCCAGCTTGGAGAGGTCATAGTGTAGTGGAAAGAGTGTGGAAACAGAGGTGGAAACAGTGTGAGTGTTGAGATACACCTGGGACAGCCCAATAAGAGAGGGAAGGACACCCAACAAGGGGGCTTGACATGGGCAGAAAGGTTTCCTAGGTGAACTGTACAGAACATGCAAAGGCCTTAAGGCACATCTGGCTCTCTGACTCTAAGCAACAACTTCACATGCACATTTGGGATCTGGAAAGAGTAAGATGCACAGACCTATCAGGCCCCCCTTGTCCCACACATCCATGTTCAAGTTTACTCCTGCACACACCTGTACCTTACCATAGCTGATGACAAGCAGCACGAAGTTCAGGTTTTTGAAGAGCCGGACAAAGGAACTTAAGTATGAAGAATCAGTGGTCGCCAAGGCATAGCTCAGAGACTGGGCTCGGCTGGGGGGATGTTTAGGCTTCTCCTTGAAGACTGAAAGGAAGAAGCAGAGAGATCATAGCAAATCCCATGGTACTGCCTCCCCAGAGCTGACACATGGATAAGAGCTGACTCTCCTATCAGAGAAGGAGTTAAGGCTCCAAAAGGAAATACTAATTCTTCAGTTAAATTCTTTACAGTCTCCTCTCTGAATCTGCTTCTCACTGTGGCTAAGCAAGTGGTCCTTTAACTACTTTTTTTAAATGGCTTTGCAATCACTGGACCTCCCAGGCATATTCAAGGATCAAGGAGTCCCATAATAACCAGCAAATAAGTACTACAGAGCACTGAAAAAAATTCAGAGGAACTCAGAAAAGAAGCGAGAGCTGAAACTCTGGGATGAGTGAGCCCAGTTAATGGCTTAGCACCCGAATTCTTCTCAAGGGGCAAGGCACCCTGCTGCCCATGCTTAGCAAAGTCAGACAGACAGCACACAGCAAATATTCCCTGAACAAGTAAAAAGGATCCTCTTCTGTTAAAAAAAAAAAGTATACAGTCCGTTCCTAGTTTCTCCACATGTGATCCAGGCATCAGCTTCATAAGGAGTAACACGCATCCCTGCAAGAGCAGACACTCTGCAGGAAGGACCGGGGGACACTGGGAAAGCCGCTCATTTTATAGGGTTTTTTTGTTGTTTTTTTTTTTTTTTTTTTTTTTGGTGGGACCCTCGCCGGCAGCCGGGGAACGAACCGGCGCTGCAGAGGCTGCGGGCAGCCTCGCAGCCCAGCGCTCAACCACTGCGCCAACAGGGGAGGCCCCATTTTATAGTGTATTTTCAGTACAACTGGCATGATCATTTTGATTGCCATTCAGTTCTCTGGGAGGCAGATCAGTTTAGCCAGCTTTTTGACCATCGTGATCCCCCTTTTGGGTCCAAGAAGCACCACATGCCCTCCCACCCCCCACACCCCAGGAGAACACTCTGCAGGTCAGTAGATTGTCTCCAGTTAGAGGAAGCTCTGGAAACAAGGTTTACACTCTTGGAAGATCAAAGGGGTTCCCCACCCAGAAAACCCTCCAGCCTTGACTACAGAACCTTGCTTCTTCCTTCTCAGGAAATAGTCCTGGATGACTCCACACAGTTGGAAAACTCACATCCATTGTCTTGCCTGTTCTCCCCTTTCATCAGGGGAAAGAAAGCAAGGCAGGAGGCCACTTGTCTCTGCAACAGCAGGTGTTTGCTCAAGGACCAGGCAATGGCAACCGCAAACCAGTATTCAGATAGGATTTTTCAGTTCTTTAATTAGCTACTATCTGTGCTTGATAGTAAAATGCCAAAATGTAGACATGTCCTATGCTTGCAGAATTTCAGCATCAAGAACCAAGCCCTCATATGCTGCTCCAAACAAGAATTTGGAGCTGGACACATCACTATCTGAGCCTCAGGAGACAGGCCGAGCATGAGAATCCTGATTGTATTGTTCCTTCCTACTCTCCTCCACAGCTTCACAGCTCCTCATCTCTCCAGGAACATCAAGTCCTCTGCCCAAAATATCCTGCCAGCTTCTAGAAGCCACCAGGCAGCCCTTCCTCAGTTTGGACCCAGGAGCAGTTGAGTGAGGTTCATGATTATAAAACTATTTGACTCTGGGATTGAGGTCAGCAGGCAGGAATGAAATCTTTAACACATAAGGTAGAACATTCGGACATTTGAAAAAAAAACTGGTTAACCTTTAGACAGGTGACTAACTAAAAATGAAAGCCACAACTATGCTGTTTATTATAGTCCCATGTACTATCACTCAGATGACTTACAAAAAGTGGACACAAAATTACCTTAATCAAATATTTCAAGGATTAAATATGCATGCAGATGAAATATTAAAAGTAGGTCTCTGAGGTTGATAGCTGGGATTAACTTGTACAAGACTAAACTAATGGCCATTCTTTTCTTTATGATCTTTTGTATTTTCTAGATGTTTCCATACTGAGTATATAATACTTATAACTTTAAAGAAAAAAGAAACATTTTAAAAAGGTGATCACAAGTATGCTTGGGTAAATCAATGAGATTATTATTGTGTGTGCAGGTCAATTTTAAATGTTTTGTTTGGTTTTCATAAATTTACAGCATGGTGTTAGACAACCTTAAACTCAAATCCAAGCTCTGCCACTTACTAGCTATCTAATCTTGAATAATTTATTTAACACCCTTTTGGCTCACTTTTCTCTTTTTTAAATGAGACTGATAATGATATCTTCACTCCTAGAGGTGTTGAGGATTAGGCATGCCCCTGATATCCTAAGTGCTCACTGGGGTTTACGCAAGGAGATAACAGTCTGTACATTGTATTGAGGATCTGGTTAACTATGACTAAACCTTTGCTGAGCCTCTAACAACGTGCACAGACCCAGCAAGCACAATACTGGTGGCAACTGTTCAGGCTAAAACATCTGAAGGCCATTAGAAGTCTGGTATCTAGTTTCTGTAACTGTCTATGGTATTTGAGGGCCATGTACAAGGGCCCCACCAAAGTCAAAGTCAGCAGAACCTCCCCACCAACCTGATCCCACCCCAACCCAGCACCCATCAATCCACTAGTGACCTTACCGATGATGACAAGGATGAAAAGCAGAGTTGCCACACCTCCTATTATGTAGAACATGATGCTGATGTGGTAGGCGAGCTTGTCGCGGTCACTGATATTGGGTACCAAAACAGGAGGGACCAAGAACCCAATCGCAATTCCAAGCTACAGAAGACAGACAATTGATCACAGTTACCAGTGGCCAAGAGGTGGCAGCACAAAATTAAGAGACTCCTAACAAGAAACATAATCCCCAACTTCCACACCTTCTTAAAACCCTTACTGGGTTTACTACTTCCCTCAGGATAGCAGAGAGCAATTTCTTTTCATTGACAATTCAACCTAGGTACACATTCTTCACCATCAATACCCGCCAAAAAAAAATTAGTGTTGGGGTTCTCAGTGTAGGCTGACTCTTCTCTTGCTGCATATTAATGAAAAATGGTTTCTATATTCCCATTTCTATGGTAGAATAAACCAGTGTTGATTTTTTTTCTTGTGTCATTTATAGTCTTGATTTCATTGAATCTTATTAACCTGGAGCTAAAAGACCAGCCAGGGGGAAAGTTCTACTGGCAACAATCCCAAAACTTGAATTCAGTAAGAGATGGCAGCAAGGAGTTGTTAACATATTCACAAACATGAATGCTTACATTCATTGTGTAAGTCACATGCAGCTGCATAAACTTATACATACAGGACATAGGCACATGCAACCTGAGTATAAACACACACACACACACACACCCCCCAACAAATTAAAACATCTCATATCTGCAGTGGAGTTCAAACTCCAGTGACATAGCACATAACATGACCTGGGTGTTTCCAAGGTCATAAATGCCTTGATTTAGTACTAACAGGGCGTGATACAACTCCTGGGAGCTACTCTCTCCACATAATATACCAAGTAGGAATTGGAGAAGTCAGGCAAGTTCAAATGCCAAGTATGAGAGAAGGTGGGTACGTTCTTTTTCTTCCTGTTCCACTTTTCCTCTTTTGAACTTGAGAGGAACTGCAGGTAGAAAAGCCATTTGCTTTCACCACTCCCCACCCACCCAATTTCTCAGCTGCCAGTCTGCTGTCCTCATTGGTTTTTCAGTCTGTCAATTATAGCCATTCAAGATGTTTGCTAGTGGTTCTCAGCTCTGAAATATTCGCAAAGGTCATTAACTATCGATTCAGTGTTGGGTTTTTCCAATCTGTGCCAGGGTATAATCAATAAATTAAACAGTTTTTTAGTGCTTCTATATATACAAAGCATTCCACCAGATTTTTAAGAAGTACCAAGATGTATGACAGGTTTCCCGCTTTCAAGGAGCTTTATAATCTAAGGGGGGGATAAAGAGAATTTAAAACAAAAACCACAAAGCACAACACCGATGGAAAATCTGTGGGTTGCAATTATGGATTATAGTTAGAAAGTTCCTTTGTCATCCTCTATGACATCCTGATTAGTAGAGGGCTGAAAGGAAGCTAGGTGAGGTTAAGTTCTAGAGTTTTATTCAGCATCACGAAGACATCCAGTTGAGATAAGTAAAGATTATTGGTTTTCATACAGTGAGTGCTTCCTCCACTGGCCTGTCCATGCCCTCCAAGGCTAAGGGCCTGGGAGAAAGGTCCAAGTGAGCAGTAAGAGAAGATATTTCACATCCTCAGATACCTGATGCTTAGTCACACTCATTTATCAGTTGAGTCTAGCTTCTCAAATGCTGATCTCGAAGACTTTGATTGAGGGTACAAATTAGCCACATACAGAAAAGCCAACCAACCTTCCTAGCTGGAGACCTGGGCCCACATCAGGTCATACCTGGCCTCTTTGGAGTTGCAGATCTGGATGTTAAATAGAATCCCAGAGGGTACCTTTTGTAAGCATTAGGGTAGATATGGGACACTCGCTAAGCTCTGTGAATCTTTCATTCCTAAAAGGAACATAAAACCCAAGACCCTGAACCCCAACCCCAGTAAGCTGCCTTGAGAAAGATCACCTGGTCTACACTACCCTCCTGACTCCTCAGAGGCCTGGCTGTTCTCTATCTACACACTAAGTGAGTGCTTTCCCTCCCCGACTCCAGCACTGAAGCCTTCTACAGTCAGCATGATGCAGCAGCCAGCTGTAGGGTGATCAGCCACCCCCCTAAATAGCAGCCCTGTTGCACAGTAACCTTTCTCCAAGGAGACTCTGGCTTTGAAGGTACTTTCATGCCCAGAGTGGACAACCACAACATAGAACAGAACCGTAAATTGCTGCCTCTTTTGTTTCTTCAAGACATATTTTTTCCTGCTTCTTGAGGACAGTGTTCAGTGGGATCTGGGCTTGACTCCCTGTTTCTGGATCCTGTGTCTTTCTCATAGTAGATCCTCTGTCATACCGGCTGGCTGGACAGATGGACAATTGAACATTAGTGGGAAATCTCACCACAATATCACAGAGGTCTGCCCATTAGGTTCAGGTTCTTTCTACAGATCACAGTACAATAAAAAAATTAAATAGCATGTAAAAAACAATGTATAAGGGAGCATAGGGAGGGAGTCCAGTGCCTGACCATCTTGTGAGGATCTACTGTGTGCTGGATCTGCAACATATCTTTTCTCCTTTTCATTTAATGCAGCAACTTTGCAACAAAGAAAAAATGAGGAAAAATTGAGAGGAGCCTGCCCAGGTCACGTGCAGCTAACACAAGAGCTGGGATCCTACACCAGTTTGTTTGACTCCAGATCTGAAAACATGATGGTCATTTCTTATCTCTGCTTATCTCACAAGAATAGCAGGGCAGGACAAAAATACTGCTACGCATTTTAAAGAAGAAAAACTAAGTTGATTTTTCATAAGTCACCAAGTTGTGTTTCAGAGTCAGGCTCAGAGAGCGTGGACTGTCCTTGAGGTGACATATCATCTGGAGAGAAAATAGTCATGACAACATAACAAAGATGCCTGACTCGTGGTTAGATGAACAACGTTCAGAAGCAAGGGGTGCTCATTTGCATCTAAATTCCAAGTGCATCATAATTTAGCAGAAAGCAGCCCATCAGACTCTACCAACTACCATTTTCTATATCTGCTTTTCAACCCAACACTGCCAAAAGCTTCATCCTAGGGGAGACTCATTCTGAGAGCTTTGTTTCCAGTCTCCTGCCAGGTGACCTCAAATTAAACTGGCTCTTTTTTCAAAAGCTGGTGGCAGGCTTTGGCTGCTGTGCCTTTGGGTAGCAGGCCCATGTGGGTACCAGATCCTTCCTGTGCTCACCTTACCACCTCCCTTAAAAATGCTGGTGTGAGCAATTCCTCTCCTCGGTATTTACCCAAATGACACAAAAACATTAATTCCAAAGGGCACCTGCACCCCTATGTTTATAGCAGCACTATTTACAATAGCTAAGCTATGGAAACAACCCAAATGCCCAAAAAATAGATGACTGGATCAAGAAAATGTGGTACATATACACAATGGAATATTACTCAGCAGTCAAAAAAGATAAACACATGCAGTTTGCAGAGACATGGATGGAGCTAGAAGGGGTCATGCTAAGCGAAATAAGTCAGACAGAAAAAGGAAAATACCGGATGGTCTCACTCATAGCAGGAATTTAGAAAACCTAAATAATGGGCCTCCCCTGGTGGCGCAGTTGTTGAGAGCTGGGCTGCAAAGCTGCCCGCAGCCTCTGCAGCGCCAGTTTGATACCCGGCCACCGGCGAGGGTCCCACATGGCACACAGACCTCTCCTGCCGCCCGCTGCTCTCCTCGGCAGTATATTTCAGTCCATCTGCCTGTTCTGTTCCCCGTTCTGGCTCTGGTGAGTTCTCTCACCCTCCTGCGCTTCTGACTGTACCCAGTGCTGGTATAAATAAATAAATAAATCTTTAAAAAGAAAAAAAAAAACCCTAAATAAGGGACCAGGAAAAAGACTAATTAATACAAAGTAAAAATCAAAATCAAAAGCAACTGTAAACCAGAGACACACTACGGGGGGGCAGCGGGGAGAGGAAGGATTAGGGTCAAAATAAGGAGGGGTGCAATTGTATGGGGAATATAACCAAAATGAAAATGCATACATTGTGCAAAAATGAAAAATGATGTAAGAATTATATAAAATAGGGCCTCCCCTGATGGTGCAGCAGTTGAGCCCTGGGCTGCGAAGCTGCCTGCAGCCTCTGCAGCACAGGTTTGATCTCCCACTGCTGTGGCGCGCAGACCTCTCCTGCTGTGCCCGCTGCTCCCCTCAGCAATGTACTTCATCAGTCTGCCTGTTCTGTTCCCTGCTCTGGCTCTAGTGAATCCTCTCACCCTCCCGCGCTTCTGACTGTACCCAGTGCTTGTATAAATAAATAAATCTTTTTTTTAATTATATAAAATAAAACATTAAAAAAATGCTGGTGTGATGTTATTCAACTAAGCCTATAATTTTACCCATTTGTGTTCTGTCACGCATTTGACAGGACACCTCAGAGGGTAAAAATCAGAGGCCTGCAGCCCAAGTCAGCATAAGATTAATTCTGAAAGACGAAGGAAACCGCCCTGGCATCTTTCCTGCACTCACAAAAAGCCAGAGACTCAGGCCTGAATGCAAATGATTGGAAATCACCACTAAGTGGCTTAGTCTTGGCTATGTCCCAGCATTTGTTCTAGTTTTATCACCCTCAGTAAAAAACAAAATCATGGGCAAAAGACACAAAACACAGTCAAGCCAAGTCACAGTCTCAGTTCCCGGGGAACTTCTTACAAATTGCTTTTAAAATAGAGTTAGGTTCTCTTCACTTTTACACAGCCCTCAGCAGTGTTTCCCAATCCTGCCTGAAAACAAAGGTCACCAGTTCCAGCCTCAGGTCTGGAGTGGGTCCTGAGTGCCTGTACTTTTTCTGTGCACGCAACTTTTACCACTCTCCAGGAAGCAGAGAACCTGTACTCAGAAAAAGCATGGCAGGGACTCCTCCTGGCTTCTGTGGCTCTGCACCCATCACCCTCCACTGAGCTGCTAGTGGAAATCTAACACCATCCAGTCATCACCTTCCCCTGCTTAAAACCCTGCAGTGACTCCCCTTTTGTGGTAATATGGTTTACAAGAAATACCCTTTTGGTCATACTTATTTGGTCTTTTTCCACAGTTTCTGTCTCACAGCTCCCCTAAAGCTTAGGAATTTCCTAAATGTTGAGAGAATTAAATGT